CGAACACGGCGAGTTGATAACTCGCCATATTTATTATGCGCATTCAGTTCACACTGATAATTTTAATATATATATTTTTTATATAGATTTCTGTCTCCAAGTAGGATATCAATACCTTAAAGACTTACCTTGATTAAAATACTGATGCGATGGCTTCAAAAAACCTTTAAAGTAATGAACCTCTTTAGTCCATGCTTCACGAACATAGCAAAGAGAATCTCGTCCTCGATTTTCTGTGTAAAGCTCGCGTTCGTTAATACAGCTGCTCCTGTTCACATCAATAGCAGCGAGTTTATGTCAGCTTTTCCCCTTTTTCTTCGCGTGTAATGCTTTCCGGTTTTAAAGTCAAGAATTCTTTTCTTTTACAAATAGAAGAAAACGCCTGAGTTTTAAATATGGCCTCGTTTACAAGCACGGCGCTGCGCTCATACAATTGCAAATATGTTTCCCAGGTAACAAGTGTTTTGCCTATCTTTTACTCTTGCTGGTGTCAACTTGTCACCGAAACGGCAATTATATCCTACAGGTGATGAACAACTTTACTAGACTTCAATTTACCAATCATTTAGTCGATGAGCGAAGAAGGCAATAAACTCTGAGTAATTTCTTTCTCGTATTTTGAAATTCATCCCAACGAAATGTCATTGGCAATTAGATACACAATTTAGCGACACTCATGTGTTTACAAACCAGCCCACCGCAAAATAAATATGGTAATTTCATTAGGCCAAGAAAAAAAAATAGGAATTTCTCGCTCGAAAAAGCGCTTGTCGCATAGATGCTTGGGTCAGTTTTAATTCCCTTGATAAACGGATAACGATTTTTGGAGAAATTGAAACTGGCCACCGTACTTTACATTTAAATGAACCTGGCATGAATAATTTGTAATATTTTGTCTTCATTTAACGTTACCAAGGGATTGGACGGAATGATATGTGTATTTGTTCAGTTGTTAAGCTTCTGTCTACCGAGACACTACTTGTTAAATATAAGAATTTCAATTTTGGCATAGTTAAGATAAATTGACAACATTAGAGGTTAAAATTCTAATTTTTTTAAAATCAATAATTACCATTGATATCTTTTTTTTCGAAGTGAGATTTTGCGACATGTTACATTTTATGTTATTTGGCTGTGCTGACATTTTACTGACATTTTGCCGCTGGGATTAAAGGATTATATACAATTACAATTTCAAAGAACGGCAGCGCGAAAGTATATCCCATGTTTCATTCGTTTTGGCTAGAGCAGAAATCTTGTCAAAACCGCAAGCCCAGAGTCAAAGAAAATTATAGACAACCCGTTGTTCTGTGTCATTTTCGTATTATTTCATTTTATTTTTTTTAAGTGAACGTTATTGAAGTTAGCGATTTGGTATATTATAAAAATTTATAACCTTCGGCGTTTTAATAGAGAAAGAGAGCGGAAAATTGCCAGACGCAGGTGCTCGTTCAAACCTCATCGATATCCAGCGTCGATATCCTTGCAAAATAAAAGACGTATATTTCTGAGAAAGAGGTGGAGGAAAAAATTTTGTAATAATTTTTCCCCTCTTTTCGGAAAGATAAAATTTTGTTCTTGGCTCTTGATCTTATTATTGTGATGTTTAGGGAGTTGATAGGAATGCTTAAGGTGGCGTTCGCAGAAAACGATAAAAATTTCAAACATATTTTGCTTAAGGTTCCTCTCATTCTTAAAAAGCTAACATACGTACACATCTAAAAAACTGAAAATATCACTTGTTCATGGCAAGAGAGGACAACCTTATTTTGGTAAAGATGCTATGGGATTACGGAGGAGCGTGCAATCTTTTTGGTAGAGAATCTCGTTTGATCTTGCGATCATCACGCAGGAGGTGATTTTCGAAAGGGTTATTACGAAATTTTTTTATGTTTCTGGAGAAGAAAATCAACAGTCTAGTCATCAGAGTAAAGACACTTATTATTTTTCTCAAGCTCAGCGAACAGGGTAGAGCAAAGATGGCAGAAAGGAAAAGGCAAAATTTTTTGATTTGCTGTCAGTTTCGTAATCACAAGGTCCCCATCGCTCAGATTAAGAGTTCACGTTCCATACTGCACCTGCGAAAATGTTTTTTTCAACAAGCAGAAGCTTTTTCAATTTAAACCTTACCCTATGGCTGTGTTTAAATGATTTATAAAGAGATTTCGTGATTGGCTGCACATCGTTCATCTTCAGTTTTTTACATTTGCTCCTTGCGGGGACATCGAAAGCAATTTTAAATCTTCGTGGGAAAGACTCATCTGAAAATTACCTCCCTCGTACACCTTTTGCACGAACACATGCGTGCTCTTGAAGAGGTGAATGAATTGTATGTTGTGTCAGTTAGAATGTTATTTCATGCTGCTACTTTTCCACAGTTTGTCCTTAAAAAATGCGAGAGAAAAACTATTAAAAAAGTACTTTAAGCACTAACTTGAAAGTAACTTAACAACAAACCCCCTGGATCGCTTGTTTCTGGCAAAAAGGTGCAATTGATAAGATGGGATGTGGGAGTGTTTGCCTTCAAGCCTGTTGTCTGTGTGCATCCCTACTGCGCACACTCAATCTACGGTAATTTGAATAGGGCTTTGAAATGGTTGGGAAATATCGAGATCTGGATCCTTAGCTCAGACTGGCTGAATCATCAGTAATGATTGTGTCGAGTGTAGATGGAGCTGCTTTGGAGAACTTGGACCCACGTCTCGTGCAAGAACTGATTCGTGCATTTCGTTTACTGTTTGGTATGTCAAACAAAGGCTTTGTTTAACATTTGAAAGACAGGTGTGAAATTCCAGTCTGACAATCTGAATAAGAATTGCTGTTTGAATTAACAGTAACCATCTAAAATTTTATGGACAGATTTTGAGGTGGGAGAAAATTTTATTACCTGACTACTTAAAAACTTACGTGGGATTGGTCTCATTTGAAGCCGTCGTTTGATTTCGTCTCATAAGCGTAACGTGACCAAACCGACGGCTGCTAAAATAAAAAATAGGTTCACTCCTTGTGCAAGTGTCGGTGGGAACTACGTCCTTTTGGTTTGGTGCGCAAAATGTGCATCTCATTGTTTTGCTGAGATAAAATACGAAGAACAGAAACTCATCATTAAATACAGGAAAGTCCTTTCTTGAAATAACTCCACATAACAAAGAATTGTGTGTATTTCCACTGAAATCAGAAACGATGCTCGATACTTACTGAAGTTAGGAAGATATGGGTAAGAAGAGTAGTTGCAATCTGTTTGAGATCATACTTTCAACTGAAAATTTGAATAAAGTTAGATCAAGCAAATAAGAATTAATGTAAGAGGAGGAAAATTATAAATAAATAACAGTTAGATCCCCTCCTCCCTTTGAGCAATTACAATTATGCAGTTGACGAAGCGAATACCATCTTGACGTCCCCTTCTCGAGGATTATAAAATGTTTTATTCTGATTCGTGTATGGCTGTGACTCAGCTGATCAACGTTGATTGACAAAATGTCGGCGAACTACCGTATGAGGGAAATTTTAATTTACCTTTCACGAGCGAATATTTACTATTTACTTTCACGAACCCTTTGGATTAATGCTTTCCCTGCGCACACCCTGCCATTGGTCGAGATGAGATTCCACTGATTACCTGAAACAATGACCTGACTGCTTGAATAAAGAGAGTGTTACCTACATAATGAAAAGAATGATTGCACGAAGATCTGAAGATTGTGAGAAGAGTTGACTCAGAGATATCTCTCCCTAGGATGCTATCCTTTGTGAGTATTTCCACTTTCTTTGGAGTTGAATGGAAGGCTTTTAATTCTTCAATTATACTCATCGATAACACTGTTTCGGACTGTCTAATGGCAGAAAAGGTTTCAAATTAAACAGCTGTCGATGGTTAAATCAACACTTAAATTTTTGATAAAAAATCGTTACTCAGTCAGTGATGCCCTCATGAAGCAACGGTGGTCGCTTAGGGTTTTATTGTTCTTGTTGCCTTGATTCTATGGTTTTCATTTTCTGTCTAAGTTGTGTTTAACACTCTAGAAGGGCAAATAATGAATACACACCCCTGTATCTATCAAAAGGCCTCTTTGATATGTGTATAAAAGGCAAATGGAACATCTGCTGGGCCAGAGTTCAACTTACACAAACTGTCACTTTTACCAATTCGTTTTTAAAAATCAAGCCATCAAAATAACCTGCAGCAAAAATTGAAAAAGCACAATTAAAACACAATGTAACGCTAATCAACACTCAGCGATTGGCTCTTTGATAAGCAGACCTTTATCTACACAAAGATACTGTTTTAGTATTCCGGTTTAAAGAAACGATCTCTATCAACAGGCAAATAATTCGACTGACGTAGGTACAGTTATTACTACCTTTTGTGGGTCAATACGAGATCTGCAAACTTCTGCCTCTCTTGTTTGTTCTGCTGTTTGGGTTTTATGGTTAATTTCCGTGACTAGCATCGTGTTTCAAAACCTCCGAGTAAAGATCGATTCCTCTTCAAAGGTAAGAGCTTTTATTTTCGAAATCACTTATCCTTCAAGATAAGACAAATCGTGACTTGAATCAATTTTATTTCTTTTTTTAGGAGTTAGCGGTCGATGATTCAGTCCAAGCAGCTGGGTAATAACAGTGTTTAAAGCAAAGCAAAAACCTTCTTGGAACAATGAAAAAACTGGTGCAGTTATAAAATAGAACCAGTGATATTAACCTTATTCATTATGCATTCGTTGCTGTTGATAAGAGGGCATCAATTGGATGTATTTCAAATGTAACATCTTCACATCCTGATCCACACCCCTACCTCACTAAAGCAGAATCGTTTGAAATTTGCCTCGAGGCAAGATTGGTTGATCAAACAATCGCTTTCGACCCTCCAAGTGATCAGCCTGTTCTTTAGCTCCATGAAACCTTAAATCGTAAACATCTACCTAAATATGCAACTGTATCTAAGTCAGTCGCTACCTACGCATAATTCAGTTATGTTATAATTTTCTTGCAGAACATTCATGACGCAAAACGTCTATCGTAGCCTTTGGTTTACTTTATTTGCGTTTCTCGCCCGAAGTGGTTAGTATCACCACGACAATCACAAGGATTGCTGATTACGTGATTACATGGTATTGTGAGTTGGTATGAATTGACAAAACTGACCATCTGACTGACTTTCTAGCTCACACTGACAAACTGACTGACTGGAAAATTGACAGAGTAACTTGCTGATTGACTGGCGGGCTGGATGGCTCGCTGGATAGCCAGCACGCAGACTGACTGACTCAGCAAAAGCCTAGTCCAAGTTCATCCGACGTGAAATAAAGGGCCGAGTCATAAAACTGCAAGATTCACCCCTGTTTCCTTACCTTTTCCAGGCAAAGCAAATTCTCCATCGTCAAGAACTTGGGGGGTATGTTCATCTCACGAGCAATGTCAAAATGGAGGAAGTTGCTTAAATAAAAGTTGTCTTTGCGCTTACGGGTATACCGGCCCAATCTGTGAATATAAACAACAATGCAATGAAAACTTCACTTGCCAAAACAATGGCACTTGTAAGCTGGACAGGAAGACGAACACGCGTTTTTGCAGGTGTAACCAGTACTCAGCGAGTGATGGTCGCTTTGTGGGAGGTTTCTGTGAAAGGAAAGCTCCATGTCACGCCATTGGTTATTGTTTGAATGACGGTGTGTGCCAAAGAGATCCTTACGTGGACGGTGCTTTTTTCTGTAAATGTCGTGTGGGATTTTCTGGACCTGATTGCCAGGAGATAACAATGTGCCGCGAGGCAAGAGATTGCCTTAAGGGTGCAAAATGTATAAATAATAAGTGCTCTTGCGACGGAGATGGATACACTGGTCATTTTTGTGAGTTGGAAGTAACACCAGGTAAGTAATGCTTGAATTCACGCCAAGTGCGTAACGCCCAAAATCACGCCAGATATTTAATGTTAAAAGTCACGCTTGTTTGGTATTGCTCAAAGTCACGCTAAGAGTGTAATACTAAAATTCACACCAGGCATGTCCTGCTAAAAGTCGGCTGGGCTGTCTGTGTCTTCACTGTTTCACCTTATCGCAGTGCGTTTTTTATAAATTTTTGATTGGGTTGAAAAGACCCCCAAAATTGCAGTCAACATTATGGAAAGTGCAAGGTAAGGAAGACACGCCCTTAGTAGTGGGAGTGGGAAATTACTTTTCCATGCAATTAAAGTTGTAGACAGTCTGAAATTGTTTATGTCTTGCTGTGGTTAGGATTATAATTCCCCTCATACTGGTATTTGTCTTTGATTTTAAAAAAATACGTTCCCAAGTTAAAAGTTTGTAAGATTGCAAGATAGTGTGCTCATCTAGCGCTGTTATATATCTAAATCAATTTTGCTAAATTAAAGCAGTGAAAGTAAACACTTGCTTTCCCTTCTAACATACATTTCGGGTGGATTCATCAGAATATTTAGTGCTCTTGCGAATAAACAAAAATGAAAAACTCAATAATCCCATATTTTTAACCTACAGCGCTAAAGTATTCCACTGTCTTCTACTGGCCTTTTAATCGACTACACCCCGGTATGAAAGGTAAGCACTGAAATAAGACTTAATGTTTGTCCTTAAGCCGATCAGAATCAGAGACATTAATCGAGGACATTTCGATTGAGTTTCCCAGAACCAGAACCTAACTAATTACAAAACCCAATCAGAAAAATGGAGAATATTTCAAGAAACCGATTCAAAATTAAAAGCAAGCATGCGATGTTCCTGAAACGCGGGAGAGTGCAAGGGACTTCAGTCACGAATGACTTTTGCTTTGCATCTAATTGGTTGAGAGAGTGATGCTAGATTTCTTAAAACAATTACAGATTAAAGTGACGCAAAACCCAGATTACTTTCACCTATCTATTGAAAATCACTCTACAGAGTGCACTGCCCCATATTTGTTGTCGTGATTGTACATGTAGCAACAAAACGTTATGTTTCTCCATGAAAAAAAAGATACCTAGGCAAGCAAAAGAGTTATCTTATCGATCATCTCAGATATGGTGGCCATAGTTGTAACCATGAATTTGATTAACATGTCGCTTAGTTTCTTGGATTTAAAACCTCAGGTGCTGCTAAAGTGGTTAGAGATATACGGATGGGAAATGTTCTCGATCTAATGCAGGCAGGAGGTGGCTGGGTTGACCTTGGTAGGAAGCTGAACAGTTATCTGTAGTATTTATTACTGACTGATTGGTTAATGTATCTATTGATCTTTGATTCTTTCTTCTAGAACCTCCTGTGCGCAACTTGCTTATTCTCAACATTTCTTTTTTCTTAGGCCAAGTTAACAACAGTTGCCTCGAAGACCTAAGCAAGTGTCAAGAAGGGATTTCCGTGTCGTTCTGGCTTCAGTTTACTGATGGGCGGCAAGTGATAACACTTATCAACAACGACAACACGATTCTGTCTGTTTATGTTAAAGATTACAGAAACATTCTTATAAGTTTGAAAGTGGGCTCCAGTACTTGGAATATTGAAAGACACTGTTTTCCCATGGGGTGGTTTCATCTGACAATTACATGGAATCACCGAAGTAGGTCAAGGTTTGACTAACAGAGTTGTCACAAATGATAGACGATAATCGTATGTAGCTATGTTTTGTGTAGGCCGAGCAAATCGGCCAATTTGAAGCTACTTAAACAAAATAAAGGAGGACTAAGTTCTAAAGGTGATTTGTGGGAATAAAATAGTTTTTGTCGTGACACGCTATCATTTGTAATAGATCGTCCGGGTGAGTGTAGTCCTGAGAAGGACTGTTGTCGGTAGTGGTGTCTGACGTTTCGACAACCTGAGCGGAAATCATCATCAGAGTCATATGAATAGTTGTTCTCAGTCGAATGTTCTTAGTCCGATTTGTATAAACTGATTGGTCAGTTTTGCCGTGATGTTACTGGCTGTAAGACTCAAGTGGCGTAGGTCGGTCGTGATTGGTCGCTCGTGATTGGTCATTATAATTTTTTTAGCCAATCCCGTACTGAGAATGTTTTCACAATAACTTTTGAAGCGAAGGGTTTAAAGTAAGTAACGTTTGGAGTAGCATTGATTTCTTTTCCAACTTCCTTTCTGTTTATCTTGATATTGTGATCATGTTCTTCTTTTTCGTACAGAATTGCGTTATTATGAAAATGGTCACCAAGTACGAGTGTCTTCCCCTTCTTCAGCGCTAATTCGAGAGGATGCCAGTCCCTTTGGAAACTCAACTAAGTTATCTGTTGGAGGAATCCAAGGACAGGGAGGATTTTCTACTCTACGAATGAGCGACCTCGCCTTCTGGACGCGCGCATTGCGCATTGAGGAAGTAGGAGACGTGTATAAGAAGAGTAAGTTGTTTACCTCTCGCTGAAACGTGATTTCAATCATCAAAGGAGTAGCCAGGATCGAATCCTCGCTGTAATGGTGACCATTTGAGTGAAAACTAATTGTATTAAGTGAAATTGTTTTACTAACTAACAATCTTTCTGTGAGGTTTGACACCTGTATTGCCCATATTTTGCCAGAACTTTCATCTCCTCTCACAACGCGCTGCCTCTCAGCTCCCTGTCCATCAGACCAGTGGTGTGAATATGTTAGCAGCAATTCAAGCAACTTCACCTGCATGAAACCCGCTGGTTTTTATTGCAGTTTTGACAATGCTTCTTGTCAATGGCAAAATTCGTCCCACAATATTAACTTTTGGAGGATTTACAATGAATATGGTTCTTTACGTCATGATCATACGGGGAACTCTTGCGCAGGTATCATATTTGGTCTCAGCTTTTGAAAGAACTGAAGTACTCTGTCATCTTACACTGTAAAGTCAGGCTTTGTAGAACGTATTTACCGTGCGTTAGTTGCTGTGAGTTTTTGATCAAGTGATAAAGCAATTTAGAGAGGCTATTGCTCGTGCACACCAAATAAAAACCCAATCACATCAGATCTAATGAGAACCAAGTTGTACATGTCATCGTGGATTAGCGCTATCAGCGTTGGGACAGTCTTCCCCGGGTAAAATGGGGACGACGTTTAGCAAAATTTCTTCATTCAAAGTTAGCCGCCATCTTGGATTTTTCAAGAAGCGGAAGTCTTAGGAGAGTGAATTTGTACTGAGTACTGAGTACGTACGCGTAAGGAAAAAGTGGGGAATGGGGGAGGAGCCCATCCCTACCACTTATCGTTCAATCGAACCTCAAACTAAACATGCTCTCAAACATTTCTTCACCAGGCTCGCGGGAATTCCTTGGCCTAGTTTCTAATGAAGGTAGAGTTAACAGTGAAGTCATCAGTCCAATATTTTCAAAATCGAGTGTCCTTTGGAACAAGGTGTCGATATCGATGTGGTATTACATGGAGGGATGGACGAGCAAAACATTGTATGTCATCCTACAGACATCCGCTGAATATAAAGAATTATTTGCCGTGAAACAACGGCAGAATCGGCGATGGACATATTTGCCAGTCAAAGTCCCTGTCATAAGTTCTTTCCGGGTTAGTCAAGCGAATATTTTCTTGTGTTTTGCTTTTGTTTCTTTTATCTTGTTTTTTGTTCATTTTTAGTGATCAAAGAGGCGGTGATTCGTGAAATGATTTTTCTTCTGGCGTCTAGGTCATATTACGAGGTGAAATTAATGGCAGCGGAGGAATTTTTGTGGATGATATTTCCGTGGAAACTTTCAGTAAGTGTGAGAATAACCGAATAAGAAAAAGTAAATGCTCTTTCGCTGAAGATAGGCTCAAATAGCTAGGATTTCAGGAAGAAAAACAATACTTCTATGATTCTCGTGGTTTACCGAGCTTTCTTACCGACGGCCTTTCTTTGACATATGAATGGTTTATTCAGCATTCAGGCAGCCCTAGTGATGACTCACGAGACAGCGGGTCTGTAAGTAAGATAGTTAAACTCTTCAAAACGTGACCTGTTTACTCAATCGTCGAAAATTTCATTTCAGGCTCTCCAACTATTATTCCACGGGAACTCCATTTCTCTACCACTTTATATGGCTCAACGTCACTAGTTTGCACCGTCCACAAAGCCTCTAACATAACCTGGTACAGAAATAATAATCCAATCCAACAAGACAATCACTATACCATATATAATGAAATGAGAGGGGACAAAAATGTGAGTGTGTTAAAAGTCACAGGCATTAACTGTCAGCTGACGGGAAATTATACTTGCGTGACGGCAAACCAATTTGGCAGTGTCCAGCGGCAACTTACCCTTTCCATATTAGGTAAGTATAAAAAGAATCAAAAAGGGGAGATTATTTGCGACAGGGTTGGTCTTCAATTCTTTTTTCGAAGGAGGACAGTTGGCTCAGTTAAATAGCGATTACAAAGAAGAGATGCTGTTCCAATTGTTTGTGGTGAAAATGTGTGGAGAAACACTCACTTATTAATTTAAGATAGTTCAAGATGAAAGTTTAAGTGGTTGCTGACCGTTTTTTGTGGTATCACATCGATAACACAGAGCGCTGTGTATGGTTTGTGAGGAAAAATATTTTTTAAACTGTTGGTTTTTGCTATTTCTTTTCATCGAAAAGATTACGGAAAGGACACTTTGTAAAGTTAAGTCCATTTGCGTAGCTTTGTGCAATCAAGACCTCATGTGAGAGGGGGACGACAATCGATTTCACTGGAACAACTGATGAAATAACTTACAACGAAGCGATAACGAACTTAACGACAACTGAAATATCGAGAGGATAACGAAGAAGATTGAGATGACCACGATTAAGTTGAAAACAGTGAAGGCGAAGGGTTAGAAGATGACGACAAATTCGAGGCGTTGGTGACACAGATTGAGACGACAACGAAGAGAATCGAAACGATGGCGACGAAAATTGAGATGTGACAACCAAAGTCGAGAAGTTAATGGCGAAGATTGAGCGGACGACAATGACAAAGTTCGAAATGATGACGATGAAAATTGAGACGACAACGACAAAAGTTCGAGGCCACGATGGCAAGGATTGGAAAAAATGAAGACTGCAATAGAGGCGATGAGGACTGAGATCGAGACGTAAACCAAGGGGCCGGATGGAGACAATAAATGTGGAGATCGGGGCGATGATAAGGGAAAATGCAGATCGAGAAGATGAAAACGATTGACAGGATGGGAAATAGGGTTCTATCTTCCAGTTGCAAATTTTCTTATTTTCGTTTTGTCTCTGTTTGACAGATGTACCTCGACCACCTTCAAAAGTGATGATAGACAGATATTCAAAGCGAATTAGATGGACGGAGGAATCTGGGTATGAATGTCTTCCCAAGTCATACTTTGTGGTGGAATACAAGAAGAACTTGTCGAAGAATTGGACATTCGCTGGTTACTTTGATCACGGAGTATTTGATCTTGTAAATGTCTCTAAAGGTGAAAAATTTAACGTGAGAATTTTCGCCAAGAACGTCATCGGAAGTAGCCCAGCATCTCTCATTACTTTTTGGACAAACAGTAAGTTCAGAAAATATTTTTTCTGCTACTAAGGGGGTGGGGCGGGGAAATGTGATGTTTCTTTTATCAGTTAGGATGCTTGAGTTATGTAATATTTGAACGTTTAAGAATAACGCAACTAATATTTGTTTGTTTACTTTTTTCTTTTTCTTCTTGAGTTAAGCCAAGCGAGATCCAGCTCTTTGTCAATGATACGGCTGTCCAGAACTCAGAGAGGATAGTTTTACACAGAGGGGAATCAGTGACCTTAACATGCGTTGTTAAAGCCGAACCGGCGCCTACTAGCTTTATCTTAAAGTTTCCCTCTCATCACAATGTATTCATAAATTCACAGCACCGGATCAACGGAATAAAATGGCAAAAAATTCTTCGTTTAAAGAGCATGAACTGTCTCAACACTGGTTCCTACTCTTTTGAGCCACACAACAGATTGGGAAGTAATGGATCAGTATCTGTTAAGTTGGCAATCAGTGGTGAGTGTGGCTTCGATTGTTCCATGCTTTTGAACCCATTTGCATCACTTGCTAACTTCCAGAAGGGATTGACATGTAAATTCTCCTGCAAACAATTTATGAGATCGAAGAGACAGACTCAATTATCAGCTAACTGGTGTTCTCTTGGTACAATACCATATTATCTTAACTGATTTACAAGGAAATGTGAAACAGTTACGGGAGAGGATCACCGGTTGATCTTGGGAGATAAGGGGTTATAAAGATTAGAAGAAAGAGGCAGTGAAATGCTAAAGCTTTTCCTTAAAATTTTATTATATTATCATCTTAAAAATTAAAAAACACTTAAGTAATGTATAACATCGTCAAAGCTCACTTTTCTAGTTAGTTTCAAGGAGACTACTGGACGAAGGTGAAGGTCATAGCCGCCTTGAAATTACAAAGAAAAATGAGGTGGCTCTGAACACCATTTTAAAACGTTTTGGGTTATTGTTAGTTGCTGAGCAATTGCCCACCTTCTTCTTCCCCAACTCAACAACAGAGAGTTGATAACGAGAGAAATGTTTGGTTAGGGGAGGGGTAGGTGCAAAGTTTCTCGGATACTGACTTTGATCCAACGTTTTCTTGAGTAACCTTACTCTGTTCGGTAGTTCTCCAAATTTTGACCGCTTTCTTCCACCTTTTCTTTCTCTTACTTGTATAGAACCCGATCCACCAAAAAAATTCAACGTCACCTTCATCAACATCACGTCTGTAGTCATATCTTGGTGGGCTTACTGGTGTAATGAAGCATTACCACGTGAGTTACGCGTGCGATATAGAAAGCAGGGTTCAGCTGTTTGGACGGTAACAAAATACAAGTATCCATCTGGGAAAATGGTCCTAAGGAGACAGTTTAAGTACAAAACAGAGTACGAGTTTAAAGTATCCATCGCGTATAATGGTCTACGGAGCAGATACAGCAGTGTCGTTAAAATACGCTCTCCTGGTATGGCCATTTTCTATTTGTAAATAAAGTTTTCGAGTAAACGGTTCATCTAGACTCTCCCCCCTCCCAGATTAAAGTTCATGCAAATATCGCTGAGGGAAGGGAAGACGCAAGTCGCAAAACCATTATTGGTTGATTACCAAACGTACTCCTTAACTGCATTCGAGTTTCTTAACAACGCTCTGAGTTTCCTTTAAAACCCACGCCATCTTCATTGGAGAATGGCAAAACTTTTATCTATTTCAAGATTTGTGTTTGTGTTCAGGTCTAGCCATCCTCAACTATCAAGTGATAGAAATCTCAAGCTCGCAATTTAATTGCTAAAAAGAAGAGGGCTTTTATTGCTATCCTTTTGTACTTCAACGGAGAAGCAGTTTATGACCAGTTACGACTTCAATGGTCTGTCAACGAATATTTACTCTGGATTTGAGCCCTTCAGATTTCTAAGATATACTCAGCTGAAATCTCAGGACGTCGTGGGACGTAAACGTTATATGTGGTGAACATGCATTGTGATGAATTCAGTGATAACCATTTATATCCCAGTGTATCGATCACGACTCAAAATAACTCAGTGTTATCTGAGTCTAGCTTATTAATCATTAATTCCATCATTTATTCAGTTACTGATTGCATTTGTATTTCGTTTGATTGATTTTTTTTAATTTGTTTGTTTAAATTAGCAGATATTACCAATGTAACTATGACCAGCAACTTCACAGGTCCAGCTAATAGGACATTGATAATCTACTGCTTTTCAGTCAACCTCACTGCTGTTTCTTTTTCTTGGACCAAAGACTCTGTGACCCTGCAGGCTTCTTACCGCATGAAGTTTGACGTCAACAGCATGTTTTCTGTATTGACCATAAGATTTACCAAGAAGACTGATTCAGGGAACTACACATGCAAAGTCAGGTACAATCGACTCTTCTCTTAATTGAGGTAAAGCTGTCATCGAGGAGTGAAAAATAAAAAGGTGCCGGAAAGAACCAGTTTTTAATGATGCCAAAATCAGTCTAGGATTCCGATTCATCGGAATTTTTTTCATGCTATGAGTGTAATAGCGGAGTTTTAATGCGCGAAGCGCGCAAGCGATGCCTTATACCAAATAATATCCAATTCATGATATTCTGATACTATCATCCAAGATAAAAACAGCCGGAACCTCAACTGTTGGCAAAAGCAAGGGGAAAAATAACGTTTCAAAGGCAGGAAAGGCTAAAAGCATTTCCTTATGACAGTTTTTTGGCTCCATCTTGAACCCTGAAAGCTTCCAAGAGTTACTTGATTTTTCCAAGCCACTTATGATACTTACCTATCATTTCTTCGTCTTTTATGTCTATAGCAACTCGAAAATAATTCTTGAAGAAACGATAGCTGTGAGTGTATTAGAGCCTCCAAGGGTACATATCAGTCCCCTTGTAAAAACTTTATTTGAAGGTACGTCATCATGGTGACACGTAAACGTCTGAGAAGTCCATATTCCTGATGATAATAGAATTCTCCATACTTGACAACCAATCTGTATTGTTCTGTTTGTTCAGACGAATTCGACGTTGCTCTTAATTTAAAATTTGATTCACTGTTCTCGTCGACCTATATGTTTCTAGGGAGAAATGATGGTGTTTGTAATTAAAAGATTGAGACTTCAGTATCAAAAATAACCGATTTTAAGTGGGTCATGATTACTTTTGTACACCAACAGGTCTGCTGCGAACGTGGCGTCATGTAAAGGCGCTTTATACGACGTATATTTTTTCGTTTCAGCGGACAGCGCCTCTTTTCATTGTCATCTGTTGCGTGGTAACATATCACAGCTACACGTCACTTGGTACGAAAAGGCGGGAGACAATCCAGAGAAACTTGTGAGCGACAAAAACGACTCCCTGTCACTTAATCTTAAAGGAACTCTGCCAAACAGAAAGGACAGTCACGTGTCATTTTACAGATGCCTTGCGCGAAATAATGATGGTGTAGGTTCCAGTCCCTTAGCCAAACTAGTAATACTACGTAAAGGTACGTAAAGGAGGTTTCTGAGCTGTGCCATTTGTTGAAGTTCGTTCATTACACTGTACGGTAATAAAACTGTTTCCTGCGTAGGATATGAAGCTATCTGTGCAAGTGAAGAATCCCATGGAGTCACGTGGTCGGTGACGTTGGCCGGGATGATTGACGAGCAGCAGTGTCCCTATGCTATTGGTAAAAATAATTTTACTGACTTTTGAGACTTAATGTAGTTACGTATCTGAGTGTCTAATGATTACGTTGTTGCTACTCAGGACAAGCAAGGAGAAGCTGCATTAAGATCGGCCCAAAATCTGCAGAGTGGGGAGAAGTTGACCTTTCAGACTGCACGTCGCTTCAAGTAAGGGCAATACATGATGAGGTAAGGAGGCCCGAGCATCGATCATAATGTAAAATAATTTCGGAATGTTTGTTACCCAGGAACTTTCTTTTCAGAACATTGAGTTTTCAGAGCAAGAAGATTTCTTTTCTTTTTTTGAGCTTTTCCGAAATATTTTTGAGCCTGTTTTACTTCATCTATGCCTCTGATCTCTGTTAACGCCTTCCTTCCCATGATAGTATATTGCGTTTCGTGAGTGTTTCATTTAAAAGACAGTGACTGCTACTCCACTCGGAAGCTGCTCTTTTTTTCCCTTAATCCTGTAGGTAATAGCACTGACAGAGGGTTACACAGTTAGCAGAACTTTAAGCAACATACTCGAGGATTTTCTAAACGCCAGTAAACTCTACGCGGCCCCAAGTCTGGAGGAGAAACCGCGCTCGATGTACGTGAAAGATCTGGCAACTTCTGTTGATGCACTAACAAGAATGATAAGGTACAATGCTGGACAACGAGAGAAGCCTCTGAGCAATAACCACGACATCAACAACTTAGTAAAGACTTCCAGCAACTTACTGAAACTTTCCAATTTGCCAGCATGGAAGAGTGCGCTTAAGGTATTGACAAAGTGTGTACCAATCTCGAGGTTATTGCGACAAGCCCCATGATCTTCCTCTTGCATTTTCCTCTTCCACAGTTCCCTTTAATAAATTATATTTTATAACAAATTTTATAATTTCTTCTTTTCGGCCTTGGTGATTGAATATTTCTCCTTTGTCACACGCTGGTAACAAAACTATTAAGTTCCTACGTATCTATGAAACTTTCAGCTCTTAGCTGTTAATGTAGTTTTAGTGTTTAATATTCTTGTCTGTGTTTTAAGCACAAATTATATCAACATATGTTAATACTGGATACCTGTCTTTGCAGCTCAACAAGGTTATCTCAGGCAGCTAGATCCCAACCCCTAGTTTTATCAATATAGATAAACCAAGCCTGTTCTCGAATGGGTGCATATTCGTGGAAGTATTTTGTTGTTGTCACTTTTGTTGTTTTGTTTTGTACGTGGTGCTGCTGCTGTGATTGTTTTTGTTTGCCAGCTGAATACAGATTGGATGTTTCTAACTCGTCAAAAATGATCAATAATTCCTTCATCTTCTCTCTTTTTCCCCAGACCACCAGTGACCTGGCGTACCAAATGATCTCAGCTATTGATGAGTATGGCCATCATTCCATTAACAAGACAATTGATATCCACATAGAAGCTGCTAACGTTGTTTTGATTGCAGTCAAAGTTTCGGTCAACAGTTCTGTAAGTGAAGTTGGTATAAGGCAATATTTTAATTTAATTCAAAGAATGCACTCGAAATTTATCCTTATCCCCAAAGTATAAATTTGAGCAAATGTATAAGGCTGCGGATAATCTTCTCCTCGGAGAAATTATGAGAAGAGGTTTTTACATTTTCTAGTGATAAGCACTTTCTAGCACTCAAAAAATTGCATGCAAGCATGGCGTCAAATTTGTGTCAACTTGAATGGAAACAATTTTATAGGAAACAGTGGGAGACATCTACAGTTTTCTATTTTCCTTTATCGCCTGCAGACCTCCGCGAAAGGCATTCAAATAACTCAGGGTCAAAGCTCACTTGCTCTTCCACCGACGCTTTTCAGCCAAAGCAACTCCTCAGTGACTGTGGTGAGCGTGTTTTTCTCTACTCTGGGTCAAATTCTCACTAGCTCTGAGGCTCTAAACATTTCCTATTCCAGTGGATCGGATTGGCTCATCAATTCACAGTTGGCGTCAGTAACAGTCAGGCCAAGCCCACCTCATGTCATTCAACCGCCCTTTAAATTGGCACTTGAGACGAACAAGGTAACCCATTAATTGTTGTCAACTTTATTGATGGTATTCCATCGGTTAGTTTCTACTAAATCATGTTCAGAAATAATTCATTTTTCTATTTATATAGGTGGCTCTTGCCGGAGCTAAGAGAGCTTGTGTATTTCTGAACTTAAGAACAAAAAATGACACAGCTTGGTCAACAGACGGATGCAATGTTGTCTCCTCGCACACAAACAGAACAACTACAAGCTGTGCGTGTGATCACATGACCGTCTTTGGAATACTGATGGAAATAAATGGTTACAAGGTAACATCTGATCCCAATTTATGACCCAAATCGCCAACGTGTTCTAGTCTGCGGCTTAGATGTTGGGGTACCCAACCGCAAAGTCGAAACTGACTTGGGTAAAAGTTAAGGTTACCAGGCTTTCGATGTTATTGCATTGCATTAGAAACGAACATGGTTGATTTGAAATCCATCAACCATTCCTACGATTTAAAAGCGTAGTGGCAGACATCTCCTTCCCATGGAAAAGGTTCTCAAGGCAAAATCATGCTGCGCAAAGCTGCGATTGATGGACTTACGAGGCAAATCTTATCGTAGTACTCGTTTGGCCCGTTTTGGAACTGCGTGCAGTGGAGTTGACAGGCAGAAACGAGAAATATTGCATGGTTGAATCCGCTAACACACCAATAGCCACTTTCATTCTGCAAGTAGTTCACATCCTTCCTAACTTCTGGGAAAGTAAGATTGCTACATGCAAAACGTTTACCCGCAGTTTGCCACAAAAGGGTGGCAACCTCGTCATCAAATAAAGAAAAACACGACAAGTTTCGTGAATTTAATTGGTAATTCCCTGGTGCAATATTCTTATCACATAATAAATCCTTTATTTACCAAACTTGTTCGGTTAAGTTGGCGGAGCATCAGCCGTCTTGGTTCATAATAGTGCAAAAAAATAAGTTGGCAAATAGTTAGTCCTCTAAACCTCACGTTTGTGTGGTAACGCACATAAATTATCTTCGTTGCAGGAAGAAGATATCAGGCACCGCGCCACTCTCTCATGGATATCCACAGTCGGTTGTCTGCTGTCTCTCGCTGGGATCCTGATCACATTGTTGATTATGGTTCGTTTCTGGAAGAACATGCGCTCCCCAAGAACAACAGTTCTCGTAAATCTCTGTGTTGCCATAGCAGTGACAGACGTATTAGTGGTTACCATGGAGATTATTGATTTGGAAAGCAAGGTGAGTGTCTGTCACTTGGAACAAACCATTGATACAGTTATAAAGTACTTCAATTATATAAAAAAAAAAAAGTCAGGCCTGAGGTAATTCTTCGATCGGGAGTTTTATCTACCTGTTATTTTTAAAATTCCTGCGGTTTGGGCAGTTTGAGGTTAGGATTGCATGACTAACTTTCATGAATATGATTATTTATTAAATAAATAGCAGCCAAGAAATCCTTACAGTGCCACGTTTGAATCATAAAAGATTTAAGTTAAGAAAAGTACATTAAAAACAAGAACCAAATCCTGATTAACACCATAAATATTATTTGTAGAAGATGGTTTTCAGTTGCAGCATTTCTCTTTTATTAACTGATTTGTTTTCCTTACTCTCTAGACCGGATGTAAAGTCATGGCTGCCCTTCTCCACTTCTCTTTTCTCTCCATATTCTGTTGGATGTTGTCAGAGGGGGTTCTGCTGTATTTCTCCCTTGTTAAGATTATTGGAACGACTGTTTACGCCAATGTTCAAGTGTTTTACGCTCTTGGGTGGGGTAAGGAATTTAGGTCTGATTTGTTACAGTACGTTGTAGTTCAGGTGTACTTCTGTAAGTCCTTGAAACCATGCGGATCATGCAACAAATAACACCTGCACTAGCCCAAAAAAAGATTTTTTTTCTCCATACTGTGTTCTATACATTTCCTAAAGTGCTGACAAGGAGAATTTGTTTAACAATCAAGAGCTTTTTCAGTCGGGATCATTTCCTTTATTCTCCTGTCTTTACCGTGTGATTTAGGGGTGATATTGTAGAGAGAGATTAGATGCTGGTCAGCGGTTAAAGGGTTAAGCTTAGGATGTTCCCTTACTGAATCGTCTATCATAGTTTCATGCACAATAATCACGCTACTTGGCAGAGTTTGTGAATAGCCGTCACTCGTACGAATCTACAACGTAAGAAATAGAAATTTTTGTAATTTAAGTAAGTTAAACTGATCATTGTGAATTGTTTCAGGTCTTCCTGTTCTCGTTGTATCACTTACCTTGATTGTTACTCAGAGTCGAGGTTATGCTGATAGGCAGTCCTGTTGGTTGTCCACGCGAAATCACATGATATGGGCTTTTGCAGCTCCTGCGCTTCTTATTGTTTGCGTAAGTTTTCATTACCTCTTGTGTGGTCAATAATGACAATGAACATGTGGGAAACTATATCATTAAAACCGACAAATTAAAATTATGTAAGAAACAAGGCATCCACCAATCAGTTAACCGGAAGTTGACAACCTTTATCATTTCATTCCAGTAAGCCGGTGACAAAATTTTACTATTTTTTTCTTCTCAGGTGAATATCGTGGTCTTTACTTTAGTTATCTATAGCATGCTTTCAAGCCATCGGCTTAGAAAAGAACCGCTGACAAGAAGATTCCAACGTGGGCTCAAGGCCTCATTTGTCCTTTTCCCTGTTCTTGGATTGTCATGGTCTTTTGGTGTTTTAACCATGGTCACCGATGAGATCGTATTCAACTACATCTTTGCTGTCTTAAACTCGCTGCAAGGATTTCTCATTTTTATCTTCCACTGTGTTTTAAACAAGCAGGTACGTGTTGGGTGACGTTTCACCGTGCACCACCAAAAGCCAGACTACCTTGGCCACACCGGTTTCTTTAACAGAGTTTCCCTTACGTTTGGATAAAATTCCTTCAAGCTAATGAATGCAATCTAGGAAGTGACTGATCCAGCCAAGCTGCGCTAATTAGCGGCAAAACTTCCTTTAAAAAGAGTCTAGCCGGTCTTTTCTAGCAAATGGCAAGTGCCCATGAATTACCCAAAATTGAATTAATGTAACTGTAGATGCCAGCTCATCTCAGGAACCAGTAATTGCCAATTGAGGCTTATACTAATCAAAAGCGCCGTGTTCTGAGAGTCTAAGAGACTTGAGTGTCTAACTTTAAATGCTCGGGCCGGAAAAACTGGAATCAACATCGATGATACCTTAGTGCGTTCACAAAAAGTGGAAAGACTCAGTGAATTGATTATCATAAATAACTATAAAGTTTGTTTTTAAATCTCAATTCAGCTTCGAGAAGTGTTGACGGAGAGAAGAAGAAAACGAACAGGCCGTGTAACAGATACCAGGGTAGCACAGTCGAACAGGAAACTCAGTACAACAACAGGAGGTAAACATCTGAGAGTATGAGATTGTCGATAAAATGTTGCGAGGGTATGCTTCGCCTTGGGTCGCAGACTTTTACTCTTTAATGTAGAAAATTTTGGCTGAAAGGGTACCCCATATACTTCTTGTTAAAAAATGGCATCTCTTTTGTGCTGGGCACCCCTCAGAACCCATCATAGCAGCCCTTCGCTATCGAAATTATTCTTGTGGAACGGAAAACTTGGAAGTCAAGGTACATTAAAACGAGAAAAACTGCGGGGATCTTGTAACATATTTTAAAAGGTGATAAATCATTAAGCTGCATATTGTGATCATGATCTGACCAGCCTCCTGACCTCTCTGAAAATGAAATTTCTTCTTACGAACTTTTGTTATCCGGTACGAGGATTGTAAGACACTGTGGTCTTATTGATAATGAATCAGACTCTGATCGAAAGACGATTTACTGTGCTTTGACTAATATGAATTCTTTTTCAAGTGAAGACAGTCACACGAGTGCTTGAAGTATGAAGCTCATTTTACTTGTTAAAAGCATTAAGGATACATATATTTTTTTCTTTACATGTTTAGCCCCCAACAGTCGCCTCAGTTTAGCCACTCCTCTCAAACTTCTAAATCTTTACCAGCACAGCCCAGAAATTTCACCCTCACCCCGGCCCTCTCCGACCTCGTGTGCCGTGCGTGCCTTCGAGGAAACGTCACTGGTGTCAGCAAGCCTTGATACGACTCGAGTGAATCAAAACAACTTGCTACAGACCGGGAAAGGTAAAGAGAAAAATAACACGAAAAGCCAAGGTATTAGCTCATGAAAAGAATCTTATTAGAAGGTAAAATTATGCGACTTTTGTAGCATCGAAGTTCAGTTAGGCAAATAAGAATTTAATTTGCCATCAAGGGACATACTCGCGTTATGTGCACCCTGGATGACTCAGTAAAGATGAAATTTAGGCTCACGAGGTGTTATAGGAGAGGCGCGCTTCCTTTGGTTCTTGCTTTCCTTGGAGTGATCGATTCCAGTCTTCTCTCACTCGAAAATACGCGAATAGGCGGATCGCGACTGGGCAAGGAATAATTCAGACATGTGACAGGTACGAGTTCGTTCCCATTCCTTAGTTAGTTAGCAGGCAAATTTTCAGTTAAAAATGCTCATTACAAAGAAAAGTGTCAAAGATATGTAAGTAATATCCTCATGTCTGATAAAACAAAACTTATGGTCGTATATGCACATCATTGTGAACAGGATGTAATATGTTGTCAACGACACGACATGTCTCAAGTAAACTTGCGGGCATAGAAGTTTCCTTTTCTCGACGGAGTGTTATGAAATCAAAACCAGAGTAAATAAAACGGCCTATCAGAGAGGATGAATATGTCAAGAGAGCCAATTAGCTTGAAAACAAGCACGCCGCTGGAAGCGTGGGAAAACACAAGCAACTAAGTCGCAACTGGTTCTTGTTTTGCAACTGATTGGTTGAGACGGTGGGGCGAGCTTTGAAGACCAATCTTAGAGTCAGAAAGGAAAACTTGTGAAGGAAAACTTATGATGAAAAATTGCCGATGCGTGTAAATTTGACTCTATTTAATGCCCTATCGTTTTGTTTTTTTGTTTCGTTTTTTTTTTTTTTTTATCATCATTCAGAGACTTCTGAGCAAGTAACTTATCTAACAACGACGGATGAATCTTTCAAACCTTGTGATATGGATGAGAGGGACTGGACAAGCCTGGAGTCATCTTCTGAATCGATAATCGATTTCAATGCCGACGGAGAGTTCAAGGTAAGTTGGGTAAAACACGATATTGAGAATTGAAGATGGAAAAGAAAACACTCCTTTGAATTCTTTAGAAGGCTAGCAGGCGTGTTTAAAGAGACGTGAGAATTCTCCATCTTAATTCAAACTTACAAATGTTCGCTTACTAAACTCAAAACCTATAGAGACTAATAGAGTACGCAATTCCAAACCATAGAAACTCTTACCACAAAGGAAGTATAGACATAAAAGTCGTTGGAAATTATAACATATCTAAACTTAGTCAATAAAAACGTACTTTGAGTCACGCTCATTCAGAAAAATAATCATAGCATTCCTTTTGATATTTACCCACTCTTTATTACTTTTTTATCAGGGAAACAAGTAATCCGTAGAGCGTCCCAAGAAACTTTTTCTCCGTAGCAGTTGGTAAATCGGGTCTGTAGGACTTCAAACTTTACGTGTCATTTTCCAACAACGTGGAGTCTGTTTCCCCGCATGTTACTTACAGAATGTAGGTAACATACTATTCTTCCCCTCTGTTTTGTTTTTGTTGGAATTAATTTTGTATGCGGAAGGAAAGTTGAAAATATTGCGCTGAAGCCATTTTAAGATCGTTGATGAAAAAGATTGCTTATTTGACTTCCTACAGTTCAATTCGTTCCCCTCGTTTCAGTGAGATATATTTATAAATCTAGACATTTCGTCAGCTCATATGGCACCTCCGGAAGTGTCTTCTGCTATCTATAGCATTTGGCGCAACTTGATATTTCACGTGATATTATACGTAATTGAAACAACATTCTATGCTGATAATTTTAGGGCTGACTTGCCAATAATAGCAGCAAATCAAAACTGAAAGCTCAGTTTCACAGTCACACGAGCAAAACTGAATCCTTATAATTACAAAGATAAAAATTCCAAAATAGATACCTGATGTCACAAGTTAAATCAAATTACAGCGTTCTTGTGTTTTCTTTTTGTTCTTGTGTTATCTTTTTGTTGGAATTAATTTTGTATGCGGAAGGAAAGGTGAAATATTGCGCTGAAGCCATTTTAAGATCGTTGATGAAAAAGATTGCTTATTTGACTTCCTACAGTTCAATTCGTTCCTCTCGTTTCAGTGAGATATATTTATAAATCTAGACATTTCGTCAGCTCGTATGGCACCTCCGGAAGTGTCTTCTGCTATCTATAGCATTTGGCGCAACTTGATATTTCACGTGATATTATACGTAATTGAAACAACATTCTGTGCTGATAATTTTAGGGCTGACTTGCCAATAATAGCAGCAAATCAAAACTGAAAGCTCAGTTTCACAGTCACACGAGCAAAACTGAATCCTTATAATTACAAAGATAAAAATTCCAAAATAGATACCTGATGTCACAAGTTAAATCAAATTACAGCGTTCTTGTGTTTTGATAAGTCGGCTTTTTTTAAGTACAAAATTTCATCATCTTACGATATGATTTCAAACAGTGCGTATCCTTAGTGGGGAGGTATGTAGCTTCTTATCAATCTTTTTTGACTTTTTTCCTAACCAAAGAAACTTAACATCGATTCTGCGCCAAATTCGATCCCGTACGTTCTCAATTAAATGCAGGATTTAGTCCAAATTGATGTCATCTTGTTTGTTGTATCAATCCTTTCTTTTTTGTCGTCTTTTACCTATCCATCCGTTTATCTATTCAATTTCTCTATTGCTTTAAATCTGATCCAATTGTTATTGTTATCGCTTTGAAGCAATGCGCCGCAGCGAAGAGTTTCGAAGCAATATCGCCTTATCAGGTTTTTCAAATATTCCTTTTCAATCAGAGTCACGGTTCGGGCCGAGATACAGCCCTGATAATAGAAAAATCAAATCGATATAACGCCTCTGTCGTAATTGGATAGTCTGTAGAGTCTATTCCTTGCCTTGATCGATTGCAAATGAACCGGATAGCATTGGATTTTTATCAGAAATGCTAAAACACTTTTAATCCAGTGAAAAGTTTGTTTATAAAAGTGAACCTAAGCTTTCAAGGAACAACATATCTGACATTCTCGTCAACAAAAGAAGCTTTTATTATTATTTATCGACCCTTCGGTGTTTCCTTTGAAGTGGACTGATATTGATGCAGGAGCAATATTTAAGCTATCCAAAACAATAAGTCCTCTTTACAATACTTTTTTTTTTTCTAAAATCTTATACCCCCTGCATCTTGTATTTGTTTGTAACCCACTCGTTTTATCCCCAAGAAAGAAACACTGGTGAAAAGGGAAAAAAAAATATTGTTGACTCCGTCTCCTAAAAATCTTAATGTATCAGAATCTGTTAAGTGCTCACTAAAAAAAGAAATTTTAAATTTTTGACACACTTAACTGATCACAGTCAATATCATAAATGTTGGAACAGTTCTTGGTAATACGTGCGCGTTGTCGCACAATTTTTCACGGTCTGTCAGAGACGGTCATAGGTGACAGGGTATTACATCAAAGGGCCAACATGTTCGTGACGTTTTAAACCTTTCGCAGAATTTGCTTGAACTTGAGGAGCGTATCGTATATAGTCTATGTCAAACTCCTCTCTCCTTCGCTGATCCCTGTACGTCTTTTTCTTATCATTTCACACAGATGTTTACTGTCCTATTAACCTATTATTTAACTTAGTCGCATAAAATTTCATCACCAAAGAGATATCACTGTCGCAGGAATTGGCGTGACGGAAGCAATTATCATAATTTCATTACGTGCTTCAAAAAAACTTATCAGTGATGAAGCAGAAGTTTATTGCGTGTTTTCTCAAGGTTAACTGAATAGTTCTGTTGATATCACCAAGGAAGCCGAACTTTCGTGTAGAATTTCTTTGCAATCTGACTTGCTAAAATTGTTTTTCGAAGGAAGTTCGAACCAAGCATACAATTTCAAAGTCTGAATTTTAATCAGTGTTTTGGGCTCTAAACATGATTAACCTGCCCTACACTAAATTCGTTCATTCCAGACGTTTTCTGTGATCGAACACTTGAGGTTGATTTCGTTGAAGATGACCTTGGTTTTCGTGTATCAGTTTTCCGGAAGCCGCGGCAGTGAATCAAGTCTTTGTAGGAGAAACGAAACTGCTTGCTGCAAAAGCAGTAGATGATGGGATTCACAGCAGCTTGTCCAAAAATCATCATTTGACCCAGCCGCCACACAGCATCTCCGTTATACACGTAAAAGTACCTTAGAGTGCGTATTATCATGAATGGCCCATAGCAGATAAAAAATACAAGAGTTACTATGGCCAACATTTTAGTGACTTTCTTCTGTTGAAGTCTATCACTGGAATCCGTTCGAAGACTGATTCTTGTCCTTGCATGGTTCGAGAGATGTTGAAAAATTCTGACATGCGCCCAGATCATAAATCCCAGAGGTAACAGAAACAGAAGCACAGCTTGGATTGCGTAGTAAATTTGTCTTCCATCATCTCCCATGTAATCATTGAGGCATAACGACGGGCCACTTTTTTCATCTCTTTTCACGGAATACGCGTACAGCAAAGGAGTACAGGACACAATTCCAATCACCCAAATAATCTTGAGAATTAGTGAACGGTTATCAGTCGACTGCGCACGGGCCAAGACGGGCGAAGAAACAGCTTTCAGACGCTCGTAGCTGATTGCTACTAAGGTTAGAATAGAAACGGTATAGCAGGACTCGATGAGAAAACTCTGAATCTTGCACACGGGATCTCCACCGAACCAGTCACCATGATGAATGAAGGCGATCAAATCAAAAATGGATAATAACGTAAACATTAAGTCGGCCAAAGCTAAACTTGCGATGAAGCACAATAACACGGAGGTCGTCACTTTGTAAGTCTTGTAGCATGTTATGAGCGCAAAAATGTTTCCTACAAAAGCCAGTGTAAAGATTGTGGCATACAGACAATAGAATATGTTCATCATTAAAGGGGACATCTTCTCGATTTCTTCATTTGTGGTTGAGTTGTCTTCATTGGCGAGGGTTGAGTTGAGAGAATTCATTTTTCAGTCCCTTTTTCAAAACAGCGCAGAACTATTTGTATTGTAACGCTTAAGAGGGAATCTTTTATGCGGAAATAGCTGTATAAATTACGTAGGTTGATTGACTTAGCTCAGAGGGTGTGTCAAATGAACTTCCTGTCACGATCTTCTGTCAGCCAATCACTTCGCGTTTATTGCCAATAACATTGAATTACCAATGACAAATACCTCTCTCTTTACTCCAAGAGAAAAGCTCAAAGTGGAATCGATTTGAATCCATAATATAATGTTTCAGTTTTTTTACCTCACGGGATGTATCCGTCTCAACTCAGATTACCTTCCTGTTTTAGCGCTTTTCAAGTTGTTCTTGACTTCCGCGCAAGCTGACACTAACAGCGTTGGCAAACAGGGCAACACCACAGCTTGTAAAATACTAGCCTGACATAAAAATTCTTCCAGTCCATAGTTTAATAACAGGACGACCCTACCACTACCCTCCCCCCCCCCGGGAAGCAACGTTCATAACATTTAGTAAATTCTCTTCGATAAGTAAAGTGTGCTGAAACTCAACATTAACTAATTAATAACAGTTGAGAATACCACGCTTCCTTCCTTGGTTCAGACTGGTGCTTGTCAAGAAAGTCAGAGACAACGGATTATAACGCGACACAGCTCGTTTAAGCACCAAATGATGATGTAATCCTTCAAACCAGCATCAGGAGCCCATTACTTAACTCTTTAACTGCCATGAGTGACCAAGACAGAATTTCTCCTAACAATGTCAATACAATATCAACCAGATAAGTGATGAGAATAAAGTAAAATATCAATTTGGGTATAATTAGTTGATCCAATACTAAATTATCTGAACCAACATTGTAAGAATTGTATGGTTGACAGTAAGGAGAATTAAAAATTTAATCTGGGGGTTAAAGGACTCATGGGCTCCTGGCAGCATCTAATTTCTCACTGAGATCACGAGAATAAAGGAAATGATCACCAATCTGAGAAGCTTTGATTGTTCAACGAATTCTCCCATCCATCCATCGTCATTACGCAAGGAAATGTAGAGAGACTGGTATGGAGAATATGCATACTGACGTCAGAGTGTAGAGTGCTGAACATGATGTTTATCAAGGACACTAAAAAATTAAAAAGGTTTCCTCACTTTTCTGTCAATCGCATCCAACCGAACTTGATAAATTAAAAACTATTTGAACACCAGATATTCTCATTGCACTCTTTATACGATAAAACGGACAAACACTTACGTGCCTGCCTTGTGATCTAGTAACGAGAACGAGAATGCCCATCTTCCAAACGAGTACAAGTCGATTGTAAATTTGCAGGGTCTATGAATCTTTTCAGAAACCTTCCCCTCCCCCTCCTCCCTCCCCACTCCCCTACTAGGACCCCGCTGATCGCAGGATTTGGCGCGAAACAAGAATCGGTCACCAGTCCCCAGCAATCCAGTTACGTCCCTCAAGAACATGGCCGACCAACAGACACCGGACACTTCCAGCAGCACAGGGACTTCCTCAAGCTCGCAGAGCCAGAGTGTCCCTTCATCGGCGAGTATGGATTCGGCGGGAACAGCTGCTACACTTCCAACCCAGGATGCTGTCGATGGAATGTCGGATGAAGAGGAACTAAAGATGTCAAGCTGGGGAAGACTATTCCCGTTGGGTATCGGCTTTGAAAAGATTGGTAAGCGTTTGATAGAGCAGACAGACATGAAAATCTAGAATTTTCTTACCTCGGAAGATAGTTTTTATAGCTCCCTTTTCTATTTTATGTATGTATCATTGTGATCTGAGGGCGATTTGAGTGAAGTTTGCCTGTTTGAAAATATAATCTCGCGCGCGTTCATGATCATGACAGGAAAATGGAACAGAATTCTTAAGGTAATTTCCTGTAATTTACAGGGTCACTAGAATGTTTTGATAACATGATTATCGGTTATGTTATTTTAGGGAACAGAAAACGATTGTAAAGAGAAAACCGTCGAATTTTACAATTTGGCTAAAAACAAGCGACCTGGTGCTTGACAGTGGACTGGTTTTAGACTCAATGAAGACGTTTTTCTTCAACACCACCTTACGGTCTTACCTTAAAATATTATCGTTGAATTATTGAATGAAAAGAAAAATTTTCACAGTTAAAAACAAAAATCTTTGAGGGAGTTCACAAGCCAGTCTAACATAGCTCAATGAGATTTCATGAATGCAGAACCAGTTCCAGCTGCTTGGAATTTTGGGACTCTGCCACACAAGGTTGTACTGTCTGACAAGTGACCCTCTTGGCTGGAACCTATCCCAGTCTCCACAAAGTGAATATTGCTCATACCCCCCCTCCCCTCCCTTTCTTTGTATGGAATGCTTGTCAATCACTACTTGCATCTGGCATTTTGTCAGCTTTCTTTGACTGTTTGCTGGTACCTGTTTATTGCTCTGGTTGGAGAGAGGCACAGCAAGGGTGTAGTTTGGAGGGTTCTTAGGGTGCCTGTGACCTTCCCATTGTAAGCCAGGTGGCAAAAACTGGTGAGTACCCTCTGTTTAATGGTGTGACCCCCTCTTTGAAAAATCCTGGCTACACCCCTGTCCTTGTAATAGTGTTACAACAACCCAGCCTGAACCTAAAACTGGAGCCTTGCATCTACACTCCATCTACAAATGCTATTATTAGTAAGATGAGATATTTGTTTATTTCTTGTATTGCTCTAGATCTTGAAAAAGATGTCAATACATTTGGCCGTGGCACCAACAATGACATCTGCTTTGAACCCAGAGCATTTAAGAAGAATCCACAATATCAGGCAATTAGTACAAAACATTTTAAATTATACAGGGTAGGTATGTGCATTGTACTATTTATCAATAATTCTGTTCATTACAATTGAGATCTTTTTAATATTATTTGAAATTGGTTGAAAGGAGTATATGTATCTCAGACCTCTCTCTCTCTTCCATGTTTTAGGAGTTTGATGCAGATGGGACATTTAACGTGTTCCTTACTGATCTTAGGTAAGTCATGCAGGTGCTAAAAGTTCTTTCAAACTGTGACAGCATTTTGAATACAATAATATTTTTTGTAAGACTTGTTACAACCAAGTGGAGACACCACATGTATGAGGTTTCTCTAAAATCATGGCCTCAATTTCATTAACAGTGTCATGTTTCATCAACTGATATCTTTATTTGAAAATTAAAAACATCTCATTTTTCTGCTTTATTTTTCAGTTCAAATGGAACTTTCATTAATGGGCAAAAGATTGGTAAATTACTTATTTTTTGTTAACATCCTCGACAACAAGCAGCTTTAGAGTTGATTGTTTTCCACTCACCATTTTATCTGCTTGATTTTAATGGATGAATGTCTATTGTGTTAGTTCTTCCCTCTAATTGACTTACAGCATGTGGTTGACCCTGTTTTTATTTGATGCATTGTAATAATTAACTTTCAAACTATTAAGGAAAATCTAATAGATGGCTCCACCCATTACCTGCAATCTACTAGTGTCCCATCTGCTCTAAGGGACTGCTTGCTAATAAAATCAGGATATAAATTTCAACACTTACTATGGCAAACAAACTGATGACCTACCCTTTATTCATTTATATTTCCTTAACCAATTGTATTTTGAAGTGTTACTGATTTTCTTATGAAGGTTGGAGGTGAAAGAATGATGTGAATGGTTGTGATGAAGTGTTTGTTTAAATTTCACTTTGTTGGTTTTTTTTTTTTCATTTATACTTTAGGTAAAAACAATACACAACCATTGAATAACAATGATGAGATATCTTTATCTTTAAAGAAACACAAAGGTACAAGTATAAGTATATTAAATATGACTCAAAGAAAAACTCGCAAGAATTTAACTTATCATAATTATTCATAAATTTAGTGGATCTTTTCAGCAATGTTTTATGTCCCCCCCCCTTTCTCTATTAAGGCCTTTCCCAGTCTCTTCTCCATTGATTCCTCCTCTCCAGTGAGCCATCTCTCTCTGAAAAGTCCTCCCTTGTTCAAGTTCCCCTCCTTAACAAGTTTCCCCTTTCTCAATGTCCTCTCTTTTATTTAGTTCTGCTTTCTACATTTTATCACCTCACCCCTCCAATAAGTCCTCTGGTGAGTTCCCCTCTCTAACAAATCCTTGTCATCTCTAGAATTTATAGCTACTTGACTGATGTCTGGCCATAAGTCTCTTGAAATATTTGCTTTTCTTTTCTTTTTTTCTCTCACTATAGCCTATGTATTTCAGAACATTAATCAAGCTGACCAGGAATTCAGTTTACTACCAGAGGTGAAGCTCAAGTAGTTCTTACAGAGACTAGGTACTTTTTAGGCCAACATTTTGGACAGCAGAATCATAACATTGTTTGTTTTTCTGTAGGATTTGAAGGAGAAGTATGTTATGTCCAGATTCCTTGGAAGGTGAGTGTAGTTTGGGTTAAGACTGTTCCAAGTGACAAAAACCATTAATTTCCTCACCCCTTTGAATACAGTGTTTCACATCTGAAGACCTTTTCCATGTCATTTTTTCTTTATTGAAATAAACAATTGGATCTCATGTCAGTATACATTCATTGCAATATGAAGCACATATGAAGTTTGGAGAGCACAAGAGATGCATAAGAGTTGCTCAGGGCATAGCTGAGAGCAACCCTGGTTAGCTCTCCAAATGCTTCTCCAACCTTCTGGTCACCTTCTATCTCAATGAATGTGTGGTTGGTACATGAACTAATTGTTTCATAACATTTTCACACTGGTGATTCAGTTTTATTTAAAGAGAAGTTACCTCTGTCAGGGCTAAAAATTGGCAGTTGCACAGTCACCAGTGGCGAGTTAAAACTGAGCAGGGCCACCAAAGGTTAAGGTTTGAATGCCTGATGTGTGACTATGCTACAGAATTTTGAAAAGTTGCAATGTAAATTATGCAAAGTACAAAGTTAAAAATAAAAATCACTGTGTAGTTGGACTACCTTTCTCTTCATTTCTTTACTTAGACTCTAAAAGCATCCTCTTTAGTGAATTTTTTAGTTCTGAAGTGAAAATTCTGAGCCATTTTAAAAGTGATTTCACAAGCTTGTTCTTTCCTTTTAGTTAACGCTCCATTAAAAGCCATGGGGTGTTTATTCAAGTTTTGTGTTTTAAACTAGAGGAAATCAATGGCTACTTCATTTTGTGATGGGCCACTAAGAATTCAAGGAAACTGGAGTACTGGAGTTAATTTTTAGCCCTGCCTCTGTTATGCCCCAATGAGTAAATACATATCATCAGTGTTCACAATGGGGAAAAAAACCATGCTCTTGTAATTAAAATTGATGGCATGGATTTACAAGTTAGGTTATATATGAAGTCAATGTTAGCTTGTGCTGTGGTTAAATAGAGTATGATTTTATAACTGACTAACTGGTGAACTAAAAATATGCTAGACTAGCAGACTGGTTGACTGAACAACTGGCTGACAAAGTGACTGACTGGCTGATGGGTGTAGTTACTGACTGACAGACTGAATGGATGACTAATCTGTAACTGACTAACTGACTGATTGATTAACTGACTGACTTACTGAGTGACTTACTGTCTGACTAACAGACCAACAGATTGACCAACTGACTGACTTACTGACTGACTAATTGACTGACTTACTGACTGATTCATGAATAATTGGTTTGGTAGTTGGTATGCTACACTTTGCTGGATTAAGGGAGCAATCAATCTTTACTAGCATTCTGTTATTGATGTATCTATTGAAGCCTCCCTAACCCTAAGTAGTTGACAGTGGATAAGGAAATCTTATGATCCTCTCTGAGATAATAACGACAAATTATAATGATTAACACAAATGTAAAATATTTTTCTTGCCTATATTTAGGGGTGCATGTGGTGAAGTTCGCTTAGCTTTTAGCAGGGGGTCATGCAAAAAATTTGCTGTCAAGATTATCAACAAAAAGACATTTTCTGTTGGAGTAAGTGTCAAGCTTATCAATGATATTCTGGTTATTATTGTAATTGTGAAGAGAGATACTCTGGCAGGCTTTTTTTACCTTTGTAATACTTTTCTCTCACATTTGGCTTAGTACTTAAACTTGAGATGTGTTTCTTCCAATGGTGCATGTACATGTGACTAGAGGTTGTGCCTTGCTCAAGAGGGGGGTTGAAAAAAGATCTATAGCTTATGTTATATGCCTCTAAGTTTTGTAATGAACTTTATTATGTATGTTTCTGTTCAAACTTTCATTTCAGCCCAGGCAAGCAGCTCTAAGAGATGAGGTGGAAATATTGAAGAAGCTTCATCATGTAACTATGATACTTGTCCTTTATCAGTACCACCTCATGTATATTCTGACTCTGAATGGTTTCGTTTTTGAATGTATCCATATGTTTACTTAAACCAAACGCAGTTTGTTCCCATGGAAGAGGAGGGTCTTCCCTTCCTAGCCATGATTGGTGCAGTTCTAAAAGGTAGAGTGTTCAGCCCTTTTGGGTCTAAAAATGAGGATTCAGTTAACCATCTTAGTCTGAATTTTATCAAGAATGTGGGATTGGGATTTTTTTCAGCAGAGTCCACTTTCTTGTATTTCATGACAGGTCTTAAGAAAAGTAAGGGTTTCAAGAAGATTTGGCAGACAATAACATTATTTCTTCACCAGCGTTTTGTAACAGTTTTAAAGCCCATTCCATAATTATTTCTATTGGCATTTTGTCTTTTTCTTTCCATCACTCAAGCCAATCTATCTTTTCCATTCTGTTCATTTCCAAATGTTCTAATGATACATTTAACTTTTCTGCTTGTTATTAATATTTGTATTTTATTTAAAGGAAATGAATTATCAACCTGTAATAGACTAATACAGATTGCTTATGGACTTCAATTGTACCATCTCTTTCAGCCTTGTGTGATCCAAATTGGAGATGTGTTTGAAACTGCTGAAGTCCTATACATCTTTTTAGAACTGTATGAGTCAAATTTTTGCTAGATTAAAAAAAAACTAGATTTGTTAGTGTTTTAGGTCAATATTGAGAATTTTGCACGACATCTTATTGCGAGCCATCAAGAGGTCTGCAAGGGATCTAGAAATGAGAACCAGACCCCAGCAAACCTCTCCCTGACTTGTCTATGCATCGCTATTCATGATGCTGCCAGGCTAACTTCCAATCAGAACAAACAGAGCAGTCAACAATCCAATGCTGCTAAATCAAAGCGATAGGCATGCAAAGTCAGTTAGTGTACATGGGTCTCAAATGAATTTCAACCAATACTAAAAGAGCTTCAGATACTAAATATGCCAAGAATTCAGTGACCTTAGGGCCAATTCAATTCCTTAAAAAAGAAGAAAATTGAAAGATAATCCAGTGTTTGAATGGATAACACAGCACAGAGTTTGTCTGAGATAAAAGCCTGCGCAAAGATTTAAATGGCACCATTTTGTCATATTTTGTTGTAAGATATGTTTTGCTCTTTCATGACTCCAGTGTAGAAGGTGGTGAACTGTTTGACAGAGTTGTTAGTGTCACAAGATTTGAAGAACCTGTAGCAAAGCTTCTGTTTTACCAGATGCTTGTAGCAGTAAAGGTGAGTGTCCTGTGATCCTAAGGCATAAGCCAGGGTAAAAAAAGATACAACATAAAAAATATCTTACTAATCAGATTGCACCATTTGTGAAAGAATGTTTATTTAGGAGATTTATTTTAATTGTTGTTTTTCTAAATATTCACCAAGTGGGATCAGTATTTATCATATTATCTGTTACACTTTGTGAGTCATTATTGCTCTTTACAGCATATGACACTCTCAATAAATTTTTACCATCAGTGATAATAATCAATTCTATGTTTGGGTTGATTTCCAGTATTTACATGATCAAGGAATCACTCACAGAGATTTAAAGGTACAAATGAATAAGAAAAATTTTGCAACACTTGGAAAATTGTTATTGAAATTCAAATTATATGTTTTTTAATGGTTTCCTTCATTTTTAGCCAGAAAATGTCCTTTTAAGTTCTGAGAAGAATGAAACCCTAATCAAGGTGTGTATTTTTACAACTTTTTTTTTAAATGCAATATTACTTTTCAAATTATTTTCCTCTTTTGTGTTAATGTATCAATTTCTTTTGAGTTGATTTGATGAAAAAATTTGGTAGCTTAACCCATTCACTCCCTAGGAGTGGCCAAAAGGAATTTCTCCTTACAAATCAATACCTTTCCAGACAGAAGGATGACGAGAATAAAGAAATATGCAACTATGGGGTACTATTTGATTTATGCTAAATTCTCTGCTTGAAGCGTTTGACCCCAAGAGTGACTAACATCTGGTTTTCCATTACAATATCGCCCCTGAATCATACAGGGAGGCGGGGAGACCTGCCATGGACTTGCATCCCATCTAGGGGGAGTGGCATTATTCCTATGCTGTGGAAACAAGCAAAGCTGTGGTGATCTAAGGCACTAGATTCACATGCATCGTTTCACTTTGGAATTGCACAAAAATATTCAATTATGTTCCTTACACAGATTACTGACTTTGGTCTGTCCAAAGTAGTTGGAGAACAGAGTCTGATGAAGACATTATGCGGGACCCCTAGTTACCTGGCACCAGAAGTCCTCTTGACAGCTGGCATGGGAGGGTACTCTAAAGCAGTTGATCTGTGGAGCTTGGGTGTTATATTGTTTATATGGTGAGTGAGGCACTGACTGCAGTGTAGTAAAGTTTGCATTTAAGTGAGGAGTAACTTGTTCTTTAGCTGGCCTACTAGAATGAAAGTGCTGATTCTTAAAGGAAATTCTACATACTTGTCGAGAAGAAGAATGTTCCACTGCAAGCTCCTTGTTACTGCTTGTTTCAAAATGATTTTACTCTCACTCAGCATAATTTTATTTCTCTCACAGTCTTGGAGGTTACCCTCCCTTTTCAGAAGAAACAAAGAAGCACACACTTCACGAGCAGATTATCAAAGGCATCTACTCTTTTCCAAAAGCTTATTGGAAATCTGTCTCACCCGAAGGTACTAACTAAAAATGATAATCTTCTACCGTATTATTTTGGAGATGCAAGTAGAGAGGTTACAAAGGAAAAAGAGAAACGATTAACGTCACTCATTCCGAATAATAATTGAACTACAGCATCGCAGAAGACTGTCTTTCAGCTCAGAGACAAAGCAAGCCACCTTTTTTTCCCCTGCAATATTACTCTTAAAAAAGCATCAAAAGAAGTTCCAATGGTCACTTTATAAATGCTTTCTATTTTTCTTTCATTTAGCCATTGATCTAATAAAAAAACTTCTAACTACGGATCCGCAGAAAAGAATAACTGTGGATGGAGCGTTGCAACATCCCTGGATTTCCGTGAGTATTTGTCCGTGAACACGTACAGTATACATTCCCACTTGGCTTCTTGTTCTTGGCGTTTTCTTTTTTCCACTCCAATGTATGTGCGTTCATGACCAAGAGTGAGGTCAAGATGACTGGATCTTGGGCGTGTTCTTTTTTGCGTTCTTATGGATCGAGACAAGTCGAGATCCATAAAAAGGAAAAAATGAACGAGGCTAATATCCAGTCATCGTGACCGAACAAGCTTGGTCAATGAAGGATTTATTTTATGGTAAAGAAGAAGCAATACTTGTTTGAAGGGAAAGATAGCCAACCGGTTTTATTGCAAAATTAACAGACAGGAGTCGTTTATGTTTTCTTTGTTTTAACTGTCTTCTGCCGCTTTTTGCGCTTCTATCGTCCACGTTGTCCAAGAATTTCAAACTTAAAGTGTCCGCTCCAAATAATTTTTTCCGGAATCAAAGCGGGCAATCCCGAGTGGGCAAGATGGGTCCATATTGCCCGCTCGGGTCGCCAATCAGAACACAGGATTCGCTTCATATAGCCCACGGGCACTGCCAGCGATAGCATAGAACGAGTGGTTGTGGTGACTCGATATTATCCGTGGCACAATTGGATGTGGTGTAATTATCAATTTATTGCTGATTAAACCCAATATAGACCAGTTTTCGATTCAGTAGGTGGCCTGTATTGCTGCTTTTAACATAAACGAGCCCTGACCATGTGACTGTTTCACTCCTAATAAAATTAGATTTCTACCTTTCCTTTTACTACCGTTCGTGAGTGACGCGCAGCCTTACGCTGAGCGGGTTGGACTCTGGGTCAAGAGGTCTGGGTTCTATAGCTGGCCGGGTCATTGTGATGTGTTCTCAGGCGAGACACTTTACTTGCTCAGTGTCTTTCCCCACCCAGGGGTATACATGGGTACCAACAAACTGACAGGGAAGCCTGCTGAGATGCAGGGAGGAGGGGGAAGGGGAGCACTTTTTATGACGTTTGCTTTTTTTTTCTGTTTTTTATCCAGAATGACGAAAAAGTGATAGAGAAGGCGAATCAGTTGATGGCTGCAGTGAACGCTGATATGCCTCCACCTTCTGGACCTGTAAGTATTGGACCGATAGCCCTTTCTTGTTTATCGTACGAGATATCTCCTGCAGTGTGGTTTGCATCGTTTGCATCGAAATGTCATACTCAGGAATCTGTCTGTCTGTTGGTTTTTCTTTCTGTCTGTTGTTTTATCTGCCTGTCTGTCGTTCCTCTTGTGTCTGTCGGACTGACTTTCTGTCGGTCGGTCTGTGTACCTGTCTGTCATTCTTAGCTATCACTCTTTGGTCCTCTGGCCTGAGCCCTTAGTCTTTTGTTTTTCGATTGAGTGTCGTAAAACCAACATCACCATTCAATCACAACAAAGCTCAGATATTCAGTAAATATCACAAGGGGCCAACAGAGCTCAAAATAGAAACACGTAAACTACTTTAAGCGCGGGAAAACGTAAGTGACCAATTCGCGATTGATTTGATTTTGCATCTGATTGGTCGAGAGAGGGGTCCGAGTTTTCTTCAACAGTCATAGACTGTACAAGAGCAAAATCAATGCAATGCTGTGTTACTTCCAACCTTCAGTTGAAAGCTGCGTTATCTCCGCCACAAAGGGGTCTGATTCTACCTAAAGGCTCTACTTTGTAAGCACAACTTTTTTTGTTCTTCATTTCACAGGTTCCGAAGAAGAGGCACCCATCTGACGAGGATGACGGCCCTAGTCCGAGACGAAAACGAATTTCCACGGACATTGTTGAGAGTGACAGTACCACGGTTCTGTCGTGACAGTGCCACAACTCTGTCGTGACCAAACCAAGTTTAGTCACTCAATGCTTAGGAAAAGGATGTGACTGTTTGTTAAGAACCGTTGATGGCGGCTGGTGGGAAAAAAGTGATACAATGTTAAAATGTGCTCCCAAATATATAATGGAACGGTTGTGTCAACTGTATTGTCATGTAAAGGGGAAGGGTTAAGGAGCTTAATTGTTCCCTCTGTTGTATGACTCGGGGTTGAGGAATGGAGCAGCTTTTTGTGGCATTTTGATCGATATGCGAGGGTTTCTTTTAAGTTGAATGATATAGAATATAAGAACTACAGAATATGAAATGTAAGTAGACCCATCTGGTAGTTTACCAGGTAAGATATATAAAATGAGTTATTCCTTGCTCCAAGATAGGTGATCGTTTATAAATTTTTATGCTTGTTAAACAAGACAATTATTGTTCAGTGTTGGGCTTTGTTTTGCTCGGGTATTAAAGGAAATGTTTTGAATTATTCTTGGTCTTGTCTGTCTTTGTATGTAGTGTTGTTTAACCTTTTTCAAACGAACGATCAGTACAAAAGGCTACTAAAAATCCAGGACGGGATAATAGGCCAAAAATACACCAAGGCACCATGTTGTAACGAATTTTCCTGCCTGAAATGGTCTTTAGAAGTGTAACCTTTGTGGTGTTTGAAATTCTGTTTGTGGTCTACATTCCTCATATAACATTTGGGTACCGTAAGGCACGGGTGTAACCAGGATGGGTAACCGGGAAGCACTTTTCCTCATGTGTTTACAAACGACTGTGGTCAACTGATTTATGGCATTTTGTTAAAGTAACCACAGTGTATCGTTCCTCTCATCAAGCATACTGAGCTCTACTTCCAACAAGTTGTAACTAGGTTTCTTCGACACGCAGGGATTTGATGTGCCATAAAAATGTGGGAGAGGTCATTTCTACTTCTTGTTACCATATTTTTCCTGGGTCTTCCCTCTCTTGTCACAGGTACACTTCGCGACTTCCTACATCAGCGACTTGCTCAATCGCGTGATGTCAATACGTCATACACATATTTGTGAGTCTTACATGACGCCTTTAACAAACAAAATATGGCGGGTTCTGCGGCGGAAAGTGGTGGTCGAATAGCTGATTTATATGCCTTTCCGAACGTATTTATTTGATTATTTCATATCGATCTGTCGCCATTTGTGATATTAGACGTATATCTTACAATAATTAGATGAAATGCAAGAGAAAACGTATCTTAAAGTTGTTCTTCTCGGAAAAGTTAACAGCGGAAAGACATGCCTTGTCACTCGATACATTACACGGTCATTTAGCGAGGAAACGCCAAGCGTGAGTATAATGTTTAATATAATTTTCTTGATTTATATCACGATGCTCCTCTGAAATTAACCCTACTCTCTGCCATCGAGACAGACTGCATTCGAGTCTAAAGCTGTCAAACTTCAAAAACATATCAGAAACAGTCTCCTCGTCATGTATTTCAGCTGTGTATATTTCCGACAGCAAGTAAACTGACTGAGTAGAGAGGAGATTTATGTGTCCTAACTTTAATAATTGAACGGCTGTAACTCAACTGCGTTGTATCTTTTATAATCCATGTTCGATTTGCCTTAATTTTCGTCTATTTTGATGCCACTCACGTACATATACACTGAACAATTGTAATTGCAGCTAGTAAGTAACTTACGCCCCTGACAAGGAAATTTTCTGTACATTACGTCACTACCGCATTCGAACAGTCCAAGTTCCTTGAACGTCTTCTTTTTAGACCAAAATCTCCTCTCGTCAACCCTGATCTTCAGTGTAACGACTAAAAGTCTCAAGAAATAATTTCTACTGTTTACCGGTAGTAAGGAAATGTCAATTTGAATCTGCCAATTTCTTACAATTAATGTATGTGAAATTCTAAACACGTACAGTTGCATCTCAGGAGAGTATTGCCAATTAGATCTTGGAAAGTAAAGAGAAAATTTACGCTTACATTTATTGCAAAGTCAGTTGGGCTAAAGAAAGAATGCTGCCTTATTATTTTATAAATCTAACTTAATTGTAGCTTTATTTTGAATCTTCGTTTTGGAATAATTATAGTGATACAATTATCGTTAGCCCCTGTCTGAGAATTAAATTAAACAATGAGTCCAAATGTCAGATTTGATTAGTGAAGAAGTTAATAAAAATGAAAAGTAGTGAATTGATAATGTTAACATCTAAGAAATGAACTGTATAGTGGCATCCTAGAAATGAAGGTAATTGAAATTTAATCCACTCTCATATTTATTTTTTTAGTTCTTGTGGCTTTGTGTGCTGGTATTGGGGGCTGTGTGCCATCAAATTTTAGACTTTGTTTTGTATGTAGAATGATTCATGGTACATTTTTACATACTTAATGTAAGTGAGTTACATAAAAGAAAACTACTGCTGAAGGAAGTACAGTGTGCATGATTGCTGGATGAAGTATGCTCTAGTAATTATGATATGGTAATGATTTTGTCTCTCCTCACCTAATTTTCTTCACAGGTATTGTTTGCTTCTTTAAGAGTTTAGTTATCAGGAGAAAGTTTATCAAAATTTATGGATTTCTATTTTTTTTTCCTTCAGACAATTGGAGCAGCATTTTGTAGAAAAGATCTCTACATTCAAGGCAGGAATCTGTCACTAGCAATATGGGTAAGGCTTTGGACTTGAAATGAAATCTTTAAGGTACACTCTGAGCCAATTTTTGGTTATAAACTTCACCCACAGTTACATGTAACATTGGAGTATAATTATATAGAGTAATATATGGGCACGATTAGATATGGAATTTCTCTTCGATTGTTCAACTCGATAGCTCACAAGTGAGTACAGCATACAAATGAGATGCAGAGTTGAGCACAGGAAGAGAAATTTCATATCTACAAGCAACCATGTATTATTTTGTTTATCATATAAACACAATAGTCCTTTAGCAACAGGAAAAGCTGACGTCATAAAATAATGAAAGTCAAAGAATTATACAGTGTGTTGGTGCTGAGGCTCAAAATAGAAAAATCCATTAAATCATGATTACAAAAATAAAAATAGGTATAATTTTAAATTTACAAAATTCTGATTTATTGAGGTTGTCCTTAGCAACAGAAGAAGTCTTTCAGATGAATGGTCAAAATCAGCTTATGGCAAATCTTCCAGTAGTCGATTTTCGTTCTCAGCAGCAAGAAACACCATTACTAAAGCCACTGAAAATATAACTTTCGTTTTTTCCTTTGGTATATTGGTTTTCTTCCCCTTCTAAGAAAGTTTGAATGTCACTGTCTGTAAGCAATACAGATTTTCTTAATGTTTTAACTGCCATAGTTCAGGAAAGTTTCACCAAACTACTTTGTATTGAGAATTGTGAAGGCTTTGCCATTCATTCATCAACCTAAGGGAGTGGCACAAAAGGCAAGGACATGTCAGCAGCTGATTGGCAATATCAAACACATTACAAAAAATATTGTATTTTTTCACACGTGTTGTTACGGCTTTTCTCAGGGCTGGAAATCCTTATATAACACCATAGTTTATGCAATAGAAAGTTTTGTTACAATATACTATTTCATAACTTGCTTTCCACCTGCGGCAACTTAAGATATCTTTAATTCATTACCATTCTTAACTTATAAGTGAATTAAAATGTTTTTTCTTCCTGGTTCTTTTATTTGCTGAAGTGAGTGTGATTTCATGGATTGTTTATCTTTTTAGGACACAGCTGGAGCTGAAAGGTATCAAGCAATGAGTGCTATGTATTATCGTAGTGCTAAAGCAGCCATCTTATGCTATGGTTAGTATGTGTTTTTAATGAAATTTATTGAATAATAATAAGTATACATTATGTTGCATTTGGAAGCCTTATTCTTTATATGTAACTTTAGAAAGTCTGGGATATTTTTTTTACATGTTTTAACACTAATTGGCAGGTCATGGGTTAAACTCCCAGTGAGAGCAATCACAGTTCTTTTTCTCTGAGAATACCCATGTTATTCACTGAATAACATCATCTTTCACTTGTTTCAACAATGTTTGGTAAGATTCACTTTGTTGAGATGGATTGTACCCTCAAAGAATTTAAGTTTAATATAATTTTGTTTTTGGCGAGGGGGGAGGTGGGGGTCCTTTTTATGATTAATGAGGAGTGTTACCTGTATTTAAGAGTAAAGGAACCTTGTTCAAGATGGGATCAGATGTGGTAACCTCCAGATAGCAGACTCAAAGCATTAATGAAATGCTTCTAAAACATACTTACAATTCACTGTAAAATCAGAGTTCAATTTATTTTAATGACCTTTGTTCCCCCATGCAGACCTGACAGACAGAACAAGCTTTGATAAAGCCAAGTTTTGGGCAGATCAGCTCAAAGCTGCAGAACCTGTAAGTTATTTGATATCATAACTAACTTTTTTTTGTAATTTTTCCCCTTTCATACCCTGAGGAGGCTCACTGCCTTTTCTTCTTTGGTTAAGGAAAACAAGTCATCCTATCTTGCAGTTTGTGTGCTTGATGCTTCATGAGACACTTACTGTAATGTTGAATTTTAGGATTGCAGAATCTATCTTTGTGGAACTAAACTTGATCTAATAGAGGAAGCTGTGCAACCAAGAGAGATCCAGACAAAAACAGTGTTAAATTATTGTAGAGGTCAGTAGAAAACTTTACCTCATTACTGCTTCTACTATCAGTTAAAATGTATTGCTTTTTGTAGAAAAAAATATGATAATCAAATCATGTAAAATATAAAGATTAAGTGCAGGAAGGCTGTAGGTCTGAATTCTGTTCAAACATGAATTTTTTTCTGCTTTGGTTTTGGCATCTTTTTTTTTAACCAACTTATGGTAGTTCTGTTTTTAACAGCTATGATCTTTCTTGTCGTAATAGAAAAGAGTGATTAATACTAATAACCGTACTCGTATGAACTACAGAAGGTTGAGGAACTTGCAAGAAAATCTAAGATTGCAGTTGTAGACTATGCAATTAACTTTTTTTTGTTCTTGTTGTTTGTGTGAAGAGATTGGTGGTGACATGTTTGAAACATCAAGCAAAAGAGGATACAATGTTGGTAAGTGTGAATGATTGAAAATACCTGATGATTTGAGGATTTAAAACATGACTGGGAAATCAAAGTTTGATAAACATGTAAATTTGAACTTTATAGATTTAAACTGAGATGGAAGCAGAAGACCCTTATTTTCAGCCTTTCTTTTTTGCCTCACCGTGACAAATGTATCGAGAACAGTATGGAGATTATGTATACTAACAATAGAGTGTAAAGGGGAAATAGTCTTGCAAGGATGGTCATTGGTTGATTAAGAGACAGTTACCTTTTACTTCCACTAACTTGATATTTTTTTTTCTTGTTTATAGATAAGGTTTTTGAGAGGATAGCGGAAGATTTTATGAAAACTAACAAAGCTGTTTCCTCTGGTATGTATAAGTTACTATATGTGTAATTGTTTTTAACCCCACCACTTCAAAGATCTAAAAATTGATTCCTTACACTGTTTGTCATTTATCACTTATAATTTTTAGATCTAAGAATTTGATGGACAATCAAAAACAATATCCCCCTAGTTGATAATTTTTTCACTTCTCATCACCTCTCTACCTGAAAACTATGGATGTTGTGGGGGAGAAATCCATGCTTGATCACTCTTTCACTCTTTCAACTTTCTTCTGGTAACCACTTGCCCAGAGAACATTTGCATGACATGAAATTGTTTTACCACTAATTGCAGGAGCATTTTTAATTTTGCCTTTTTTTTTTGGATTCTATGCATCTTGCTCTATTGTTATAGTCTGCATTCTGAGCCCCAACATCAAATGAGATTTTTTGCCCTTGTTTCAGGACCAAGGGGTGATGTGCAAGTAGACAATAGGGCAACTCCAAAAAAGTCATGTTGTTAACAGAGGTGTAACAGAAACCTGCCAACAGGGCTGGGTGGCCAGTACACACATATTGCATGCCATCATTGTCACAGGAAAGCCGCAAGTCAGTCAAGGAGATATGACTCCCATTGTAACATGCTAGATTGATAAAAAAGATTGATGAAATAAGTATTATATAGAGTCTATTACACAATGTAGAAATTGAGGTTAAGGTGATTTTGTAATTAGAGACAAATGTAGTTCTTGATTTTACCAAATAGTTTAGATATCTTCATACACACTAGATATGGCAAGGAACATTTGAAGAGGTGCTCTATGTGATCAAATTCCAGGTTCTCTTTCCAGTTTGTCTAGTATTTCTGTGTGAAAACAGAGGGAGGAGTTAGTGTTGCATCAAATGTGACTAATACACTATTCACATCAGCAAAACATGTTTTGTTAAACTGGTTTTTACTGAATGATAATCATAAACATAGAACTAAAAACTGAATTTTCCATAGGATTCTAGTACTTGTATTTCCAATGTGCTACATTTTAAGTCAACAAATATTAAGTTAAGCAGTTTCTATGGAAAAAAAAAATTAAACTGTGTTTAACAAACAGCTTTAATTTGAAACATGTTTAAGCTTTGTTGTGAATGAGATATAACTGCTTTATTCCATACATTCATTCATTTATCAAGCATTCTATTGAAATTTCATTTGCAGGTTTTAATTAATTTAATAATAGCTCTATCTTTTATTGGATGGAGCCCAAACATTTAACCATATAAATAAAGGCTAATAAGAAATACCTTAAATTTTATACTTTTTCTTTTCATTGTTTAGGTGAAATTCTTATTTGTGACCAATTACTGATTCAATTAAGTTTATTATTTAAAGTTTTTCTCCAAATTAAAATCAGAAACTTACATCTATTGCTGTGTACAAATTTTCAATAAAAAATATTTACATAAAAATTAATGATGCAGCAAAAAATGAATCGGAAATTTTCATGACTGGTATGACAGTGCTTAATTAGATTTTCTCAGGTAAAAACAGCATATGAAGTCCAGTTTAAAAGTTATGTGTTTTTTTTCATCTCTTTACTGCCTTAAATTTTTGGAAAATTTATGACATACTTGTACCATGATGAGTGATAAGACTATTATGTGTCTTTCTTGTTAGCAACTGCAGTCTCTTAGTCTAATCAGATTAATATATTTTGGTCATGACAGATATAGTTATGCTTTTGCATTCAAATATATGTATTGCAAATGCTTCTCTTGTATTCAATTTAGTTAATTTGTACTCTTATATGTAAATTTTTGTGAGGTGCTTGTTGAGAGAGATGTTCAAACATTGGATCTGTTTTTTTACTTATTTTAGTTCAAATGAAACCATGTAAAATTTGTGAACAAGCACACTTGAGAGTGTATATATATATGTACATTCAAAATTGAGGATGTCTTTATAGGGAAGGACTTGACAATAAAATGGAGATGGTGATCAGTAACTGCAGTACTTGCAAGGTCCAACTCTTAAACTAAAATTAGTGACCAAGATGGAATTTTTTTTTTTAATAAATAAATACTTATTCGGCACAAATATCTATATGAATATATTCAGATGCGCCTTACAAGTTACAAACCCACCCAACCCAACCCAGGGGAGAACATCCATCAGACAGTAATCTCGTGCGTGGGAAATTAACGTCTCCTAACCCAAATCCTGCAGGAGACGGAACCTCCGGCTTAACGTCTTATCCGAGAAGACGAAGCAAGGTGAGTGAAGCGACTTGTTTAAGGCCACAACGTAGTGCCCCATCCAGGACTCGAACCCGGGCCGTCCGACCCAGAGTCCAGCGCTCTGACCACTGGGCCACTCACGCCTCAAATAGAATATCAAACAGACAAGTGACGAGAATAAAGAAAAATATCTGTTAGGGGGATTATTAGTTGATCCAGACCCAAGTTCTCCAAACTAATATCAAGAAAATTGTGTAGCTGACAGTAGGGAGAAATACTTATGAGATATTGACTGTAAATATATGGAAATCGTAAATTTGCACTGCCGTTGAAGAAACGAATATAGAAGCGGCCCTCGCAGTTGTGAACACTACTGAACTAGTAGTTGAATAAGGCCTGAAGAGAATTTAGGCCCGTACGGGATTTGAACCCATGACCTCTGCGATACTGGTGCAGTCATTATTCACCACTTGGAAGGTTTCTTTAGATCCAACATAATGACCAGCTCCCAGCTGGCTTGTTAGTTCAGTTGGTGGAGTGCTGCACCAGTATTGCAGAGGTCATGGGTTCAAATCCCGTATGGGCCTGAATTTTTTCAGGCCTTATTCAACTACCAGTTCAGTAGTGTTCCTAACTGCGAGGATCGCTTCTATATTCGTTACGAATGAGATCTTGGGAGTGAAAGAGTTGAAGAGAAAAGCAATTTTTTAGCTCGTAATTAAACATCCCAGAGAGGTGAAAACAAAGTGAAATTTTGAGGGTAATTAATGGCAAGTTCACCCTCTTCCCATACCCTAATAGTGAGGACATGCATTGTAAAATGGCTAAAATTGAACCTGGAAAAAAGGGCTGATTCTGTTTCTCCTAATAACGTCAAGAAACTTTCAGCTTTTTTATTTAATTTCTTTTCTTAACCCTTCTTTTCCAATATTTGTTTGTCTTCCCATTTAAAACCACCTTAAAAATAATCTGGAATGTCTTTGTAAACAGTAGTCTTTTCATTTTTTGAACATTAGCCGACTGCTTTTTCCAACCATTAGCAATTTTTTTACCCTCTTCTCAAACTCTTAAATTGAAATTTGCATCGTAGCGCACCTGAATTTAGGCCAAATAGCAGAGTTTTCGTTAAATTGTCACCTTAAAGTCAAAACACTTTTCCCTCAGAATCTTTGCTCACTTATTCCTTGTAGTACGTACTTCTTATATTTAATCTTTAAATTCGCTTTCCTTTCTCAGTGGGTAGAGCATTGTAACGCGAAAACGGTCCCAGTCAGGATGGAGATCCTGACACGGGGAACTTGCCGTTTTTTTTTTAACTTATTTAATTTTCTTTCCAATTTTTCAATTCCTTTTTTGCGATGATTTCTTAATCTTCTACCAAGCTTTTTAAATAGTCTGAAGTGTTTTTTTATACTCGTCTTTTCACGTCATTACACTAGGAGAGGTTTATTGCCATTTTGGCAAGTTTACCCTTTTCCTACACTCTTTAATTGAGGACATGCATCGGAACACTGCTGAGTTTTAACATTATTAAATTAAGCAATATAATTTTTGTAGTAATGTCATCTTAGAGTTAGAACACATCTTCCTTAGAGTCTTTTGCCCACTTGTACCTTGTAGTATATTCTGTACTTATTACATATAATCTTAAAATTTGCTCTCCCTTCATGGCAAGTTCCCCGCAGCTCAGTGGGTAGAGCATTGTACCGCGAAAGCGGTCCCAGTCAGGATGGAGATCCTGACACGGGGAACCTGCCGGTTTTTTTTTAAATTTATTTCATTTTTTTTTTCAATTTTTTAATTCCTTTTCTTCAATGATTTCTTAATCTCCTACCATGCTTTTAAATAGTCTGAAGTGTTTTTGTATACTCGTCTTTTCACGTCATTACACTAGGAGAGGTTTACTGCCACTTTGGCAAGTTTACCCTTTGCCTACACTCTTTAATTAAGAACATGCATCGGAACACTGCTGAGTTTTAATATTATTAAATTAAGCAACACAGTTTTTGTAGTAATGTCATCGCAGAGTCAAAAGACATCTTTCTCAGAGTCTTTGCCCACTTGTACCTTGTAGTACGTACTGTACTTATTACATATAATCTTAAAATTTGCTCTCCCTTCATGGCAAGTTCCCCGCAGCTCAGTGGGTAGAGCATTGTACCGCGAAAGCGGTCCCAGTCAGGATGGAGATCCTGACACGGGGAACTTGCCGTTTTTTTTTTTTTTAATTTATTTCATTTTCTTTTTCAATTTTTTTAATTCCTTTTATTTCGATGATTTCTTAAACTTCTACCAAGCTTTTAAATAGTCTGAGGTGTTTTTTTATACTCGTCTTTTCACGTCATTACACTAGGAAAGGTTTACTGCCACTTTGGCAAGTTTACCCTTTTCTTTACACTCTTTAATTGAGGACATGCATCGGAAGACTGCTGAGTTTTAACATTATTAAATTAAGCAACATAGTTTTTGTGGTAATGTTATCTTAGAGGCAAAACACATCTTCCTCAGAGTCTTTGCCCACTTGTACCTTGCAATACCTATTGTACTTGTTACATGTAATATTAAAATTTGCTCTCCCTTCATGGCAAGTTCCCCGCAGCTCAGTGGGTAGAGCACTGTACCGCGAAAGCGGTCCCAGTCAGGATGGAGATCCTGACGCGGGGAACTTGCCGTTTTCTCTTTTTTTTTTTAACTTTATTATTATCATTTTTTTTTTTGGATGAACATATTTTCCTTTTCCCATTTTATACCAAGCTAATACATTGTCTGAAATGTCTTCGGATTCTGATCTTTTGATTTTGGTTCATTATCCAACGTTTTTGCTTTCACTCATGGATAAGGTTACCCTCCTCCCTCACTCTTAAATTGAGGACATGCATCTGAACGTTAGTGGATTTGAACAAATTTTTTTAAGTCATATTACTTAAGAATCAAAAGGCTTGTTCCTTCGACTCTTTGCTCACTTGTTCCTTGCATCACATATATACTCTAGTAGTAGTGTCATGTATTACCTTAAAATATGCTCACCATTCATGGCAAGTTCCCCGCAACTCAGTGGGTAGAGCATTGTACTGTAGAGTATTGCCGTTTTTTAATTGATCCGTCTGTGTGAAGATTTGTTCCTTTTCCCATTTGATACCAAGTTTAAACATAATCTGAAATGTCTTCGTATGCGGGTCTTTTCATTTTGATTCATTTGCCAACTTTTTTTAACTCAATGATAAGATGACTCATTTTTCGCACTCTCAAATTGAGGGCCTTTTTTTAAATTCTCTTTTTTTATGTTTTTTTTTTTCCATTTTATGCTGAGCTTATATAGTCTGGAATGTCTTCGTTTTATTTTCTTCAAATCATCTTCTGATTATTTATTTCGTTTTCTCATGTTTAACATTTATTAATTAAAAATTATGTTTCAAGCACCAGAAGATAACGTCATTTTCAAAATTCATTATTCTGTTGTAAGGCGTGCAAAAAATAAACCAAACCACACCTAAAACTGTGACGTATCTGCTACTGATTGGCTGTACGTTTTGATCCATATTCATGAACAATTTCGATTACACCTCATTTCAAACTGTTAGCGACCAAGTAAAGATGTCAGGCAAAGCTGACTCTATGTTGCAACTCTATGTTGCAAGAGTTGGATGAAGAAGCATGGCTACTTATTTGAGCTTCTAGCCACTTGAGCAAACGGTCAGTATCAAATACATTAGAGTTCTAATGGGAAACTAGTAACAAAAGTAATTATTTAAGGGTTGCCACGTCCGTTTGGGATTTCGCCTCAAAGCCTTGCAAAGCTTTTTGAAGAGCAACATGGAGACTCGAGCAAACATGCTTTCCCAACTAGTTCTACTTTTATCGGGGCCTCTACAAACAAAACTATAGTGCAAATTCTCAGTACAATCTCTACTTGAGTTCAGAGTCAATAAGTCGTTCAATATTCTGGGATGTAACATCACACTGCTGCGATAACACGTGAAGGGACAGAATTAAACAAGGAACCTTCTCATCCCTCCGAACGTAGTCTTCAGCTAATTTTGTGTGGAAATTCACACTTGAACTGAAATAAATTGCTATAAAAGCGAAGTAACGTAATGGGTTTTCTTACCATGATGTTAAATGTCTTTTTTATGTTTCATGTTCAGACGAAACCTACTACGAGGACACCAAGCTAGACAGAAAGAATTCGCAAGCGAGAATCGATGGATTGCCAGGCACTGGGGAGCGTCGTTGAGATAAGAATGTAAATTATCCAAATCCCTGAAGTACTTCGATAAAATGGTGGTTTGAATGTCAAAAGAGTATGCAAAATTCTAAGATTATTTGGAAGGACAATTTTGGCAAAGTTGGTGATTTAATCGTGCAAAAATATGTTTAAACAATGCGGTGGAATTCGTTCTGCTATAAAAACGTATATTGAAGCATAATGCCTAGTACAAATAGTATTTGCTGCTAAATCCATTTCTTTCCCGTATTAGACAAGACCACTCGGCGAAATTGTCATTCAACTACTAAGATTTTATGATCCACCATTTTAATCGGGTATTTAGACGACATTTGGTCCTAATAGCAAGTGGCACTGCAATCAAAGGTTAACTTATAGAGTTCGACAGATTGACGTTGTAAATCGTCATTACAGTGACCCCTGTTGTGTCTACGGTTAAAATTGGAGTCAATTTTCTATCAAAATTTTGGACGCAATTTCTCAGGTTTTAACAGTGCCACTTGCATTAGATTATTTAATATCAAAATTCCTAGTTCTCAAAAGCGCGAACGCTGATTCAAATAGTTTTCATCGAGATAAATGCAGGACAAACAATCAAACGGCTTATGCAAAGGCTTCGTTATTACTTTCT